AAATGTTTAATAAATTTTTGCATTATAAAAATTAAACATAAAATCACAAAAGAGTTACTTTGGCTTTTTTTTTCCTTTTTTTTAATTAAAAACAATGGTGAGATGAACATACTTTTACTTTAGTGGAACTGTGTTTTCTTAAAACGAAGTGGCTTTCCCTACTTATCTTTTTCAATGCTACTCTACGCTCACTAGAAATCCTGTTATTTGTCAGGAGTTTTTGCTTCTCCCAGCTCATAGTTTGACCCAATTGTGTATTATGTAGATGTAGAAGAGCTTCTCTATTTTTCTCACTAGGTGCGTCTAGAAAATTCTGCTTTTATCTTGCAGCTCAGACAATGTGACCGCAGAATACTCATGTAATTACCCCATACCATCAGCTTTGCCTTGTCTTGACTGGAGGATGCAGACCTCTACTAAACCAAAAGGTCTTCAGCCCCCCACGGTCTGGGCCATGGAAAGAAAGATTAAAGGCTTTCTGAGGTCTTCTCTGAAATGCTAAAATAAGTATCTCTTACTGTTTTTTTTTTTTGCATTGAGTTTTTTTTGTTGTCAGGTAAGCTCATCAGCTTTGCAAGGTTAAAGAGAAGAGCTCCCCCTTAAAAAGTGGACAGCAAGGAAAAACTTGTTTCAGCTAAGTGAAAATTTGACTGAAACAAGTAAGTATGTATGGAACTGCCTGACTGCATGGGATAAGCAAACAATTTGTCAGCGATGGAAGTCAGAAGAAAAGAGCAAAGAAGAGACTGTTCCTTTTTGATACTCATTATTATCTCACTGTGGGTGAACAGCACATCCAACTATTTCTGTGAAAAGAAACTGGTAGGTGCCACACTTTCTTGGTAAATTGCAACTAGTAATTTTTTTTTTTAATTTGAGATTTTTAAATTGATGAAAACAGCCATACAAAGATTGAAAACAATCTTTGGGAAAGAGAACACTTTGTCTGTTCTATAACACACTGTCATTTCTTTCTCCTAGAATAGCTCTTACCTAGCAAACAGCAAACTCCCAGAAGATCGCATTCCTTATACAAGTAATAGAGTTTTAAAATTTTTCATGGCTGTGGCATAATGATTAGTACTGGAAATAACAGAGCAGAAGTGAGAAGGAGCTCTAGCAATGCACGGAGAAGTGTATGCATGTAGCCAAGTCTGTTTGGGCAAGAAGAAGCAAGTTATCTATGCCAGAATGAAACAACCTTGAGAAAACATTATGTAAACCCATTTAATTCAGCAAGCAGGAACAAGGAACTATCAGAGCACAGTCCTTCTGCATTTGACAGACATGACAATTATGAGAAAGGACAGCACACAAAAACTCCCCTTAGTAAAAATTCACTGCACCCAATACTGACATAACAGAAATAGGAAGTGGCTTTCTACATCTTTCCCTTAGCTCAGACTACTCTTGTGCTGACCTTTCTGATTGAGTTCAGCACACCACAGACTGACCTACTTCAGAGCAAGTGGGTCATGATACAACTTTAAATCAGGAAGCTTAAAACCCACTCTTCTCTGTGAGCATGTTTGAGTCAGAAACACTTGCTTCTTGTTATCCTTAGGATGGTACAGAAACACTTGCTTCTTGTTATCCTTAGGATGGTACATTGGCTCAAGAAAAGACTGGCAGAACAGGAAGAACTCAGGGTTCTCAAAAGGAAGCTCTTCATTGTAACTGCATTGATTTTGCTTCACACTGTCTGACATAGTTGTCTGCAGCATTGTAGATAAGGGTGTATTGCAGTCTTTCAAAGGCTCTTGAATATAGACTGATCAGGTTTATAGTATCTTAACTTTCTGCCACTCCTGGAAGCAGCTGACGTAAGCAAAAATGCACAGGGAGCAACTGATATATAAGTTATCTTTCCAGGCTGATATGACCAATGCTTTTCATCTCTGTACATAAAAGCTGATTATTTCATCCTGGATGTATGTCTCAGCACCTAATTTTTCTTTCCAGTTGAGATATCTTTTAACTCCCTACAGTGTGCATTCTTTAAAGATGGCCTTTCACGACTCAGATACTTGTGTGCAGTCCTGAGATAGTAAAACAATATTAGGGCAGCAGTTTTGCATCTAAATTTTCCATCCAAAAGCATACACTAGTCGCTCATTTCCATGAATTTGAAAAAGAGCTGTATTTCTGCTTAACAATCAAGGTTTAATGGTATGGACATCTGCTCAGTCTGCTGTATCATCAGAATTCCTCTTTGACTAGGCTTCGAATAGTAAGTCCCGCTCTTCACTCCTTCACCACAGTTTTACCTTTTCTGCCTGAAGCCTCCTCAGGTAATCCAACCTGTGCTACAGCTCTGGTTCTGATTTGTCATAAAGACATGCTGTTAGTCACTATAAATGTATTTTGCATCCAGGCCTGCCCTGGGTAGCACTCTGGGAAAAGCTTTGTCTCAGCACAGTGTTAGCCCCTCGTCCCCCACCCAGGTGGTCAGCAATTTGTTCTAGTTACTGCACAGGAATGGAGCAAACAAGGCCATTATGTCAGTGCCTCTTTGGGTCACCCTGCGTAGCAGGCACAGAGCTTAGAGCAATTGGCTTCTGTCGTGACTCCACTGCTCCGTAATCTCCTGCTTACAGAAGCAAGGAAAGGAGGTGAAAGCTGAGGCCTGATTTGACTTATTATCTTCAAGTGCCATTATTGCATCTTAATCCCAGCTGATGACAAGCTGTGAGGTGTCTGTGTTCAGATGGAGATTTACTTCAAGAAAGTGAGGGGAGAAGGTGCTGAATCAACAGGTACTGACATCATGGAGCTTTGGAGCCTTTCCACTACCCTCTCCCCTGTTTTGACTGGAGCTGCATTTCCTTTTGTGTCTCATGAATAACCAAAAAAAAAAAGCTTGTTGGTATAAGATATTGAAAACCTTGAAAAAATGATTGCTCAAGAATAGCACGATAATTGATTCAATGATGCAAACTCAACCTTGGAGTACAGAATTGAAGAGATGTTTAATATGTGAGTTATAGTGGAACTGCAGACACTCTTCATTTATGTTCCAGAAATGTATTAAACCTTTAAATTTGACCAAAAAAAATTAAATGTAGCACTTTGGGTAGGTGTCAAGTAATGCTGAAAGTACCAGAAAGGCTGCATGAATCTGTGTTTACGATGAACAAACTAAGTTAACGCAGGAAGCACTGTCCATGCCATGTTTGTTTTCACATCATTTAAGTTAAAACGACAGAAAAACATTTATATTCTGAAGTTATAATCTCTGTGGATACATATCATGGTAAACAAATACAAAAAACTGTTAAGAAACTGGAGACCTTCAAGACTTGGGGTTGTTTAAAGAGTTATTTTTGAATAAGTTTGGTCCAAGTAAGTTAATTCAGTTTGAAAGTTGTTTGGATTATTTTCAATAAAAATATTTCTTATCTGCTTCAAGACTTTCCACATACAAACAAGATAAAAGACTTAAACAAACAAATAGGAATGAAAAGCTTGGAGACCACTTTGTCCCCCCGTTGTGTCCTGAAGTCAGTCTGGAATTGGCCATTGTATTTTACTTCCTGGCTTTCAAAAACCAAAGGACTGTCTTCAGAGTGAAGCTGTAGGGAGCCATAAGGGTGTTTTTGGAAAAGTCACGTATTTTTAAACACTGAGTGGGACTCTCTTCTATTGATCCATTGTCAACAATGCAGGCTGTGAGACTGGTTGAATGAAAACATATTTACTGCTTCCCCCTATTGATGCTCTACCATCATTTCAGCATATGGCTTGACTCAAATTTTTAACTCTACCATTATCTTTTAATGTTTCTATGTTGGCTATCTCTTTTAAATTACATTTTTTCTTCTGTCTTTGATGAAATGCTTGTCCAGAGAAGGGCGATGGAGCTGGGGAAGCATCTGTAGCACAAGTGTGATGAGGAGCAGCTGAGGGAGCTGGAGGGGTTTAGTCTGGAGAGAAAAGGAGGCTCAGGGGAGACCACACTGCTCTCCACAGTTACCTGAAAGGAGGTTGTAGCCAGGTGGGGGTCGGTCTCTTCTCCCAAGTAACAAGTGACAGGACAAGGAAGTGGCCTCAAGTTGTGCCAGGGGAAGTTTACATTGGATATTAAGAAAAAATTCTACACAGAAAGTGCGGTGAGGCATTGGAACAGATAGCCCAGGGAATTGATGGAATCGCCATCCCTGGAAGCGTTCAAAAGATGTGTGGATGTGGCACTTGGGGACATGGTTCGGTGGTGAACACGGTGGTGAACACGGTGGTGTCAGTTCATGGCTGGACTCAGTGCTCCTAAGGCCTTTTCCAGCCTTAACGATTCTAAACCATATTCTCACACTTGTGCTTCAGCCTTGAGTCTATCTTCTAAGAAATTAAGCTGATTTTTTTTCTTTTTATTTGTTAGTAGTAGTAGTCTTTGTCTGCTTTCCTTAGCTATGTCTTGACTATTTACTTTTCCAATAGCTTTCGCTTACTTGCTACACCGTCATTCCTGGCTCTTTAGCCCTCCGCACTTTATATATATATATATACTAAAAATACATATATATATATACGTATATATATATATGTATTTTTAGTGCACTCTGCTTCTTTCCTTCCTCCGGCATAAACGGGCAGCACAGACGAGCCGCCGTGCCGGGCCCGCGCATGCGCGGCGGGGCCGTTGCCATGGCAGCGGGCGGACGCGCGGGCCGGGCCGGCGGACGATGGGGCTGCGGCGGCTCCTGCTGCGCTACTTCCCGCCGGGTGCGGAGCTGCCGGGCCCGGCCGCGGCTGTGCCGCCTCGCCGGGGCTGGGCCCGCGCCTGGGGAGCCCGTTGGGTGTCGTGCGTGAGGCCGGGGCGGCGCGGGGTGTGCGGGTTCCTCCCCCTGCCGGGGCTGGGCGCGGGGGGCGTTGAGGTGCGGGTGTTGTGGCGCGGTGAGGGGCTGCCGCCTGGAAGCGGCTCATCGCGGCTGGAGTTGATGATTTACTGCAAAATCGTGGCGCTCTTATTAGCATCACAGTGAGGTGCTTAAACAGTCAACGGTGATGACAGTAGCTGGCACAAAAAAATGTATATGTGTTATTATTAAGAGTTGCCACTCTCTACAACTCCCTGAAAGGAGGTTGTAGGCAGGTGGGGGTCAGTCTCTTCTCCCAGGTAACTAGTGACAGGATGGCACAGACTTAAGCCATGACAGAGGAGGTGTAGCTTGGACATTGGGAGGAATTTCCTCAGAAAAAGGATGATTAGACATTAGAATGGGCTGCTCAGGGAGCTAGTGGAGTCACTGTCCCTGGATGTGTTTAAGGAAAGACTGGACATGGTCTGGTTGACCATGGCACTGGTGTTCTTTCACAGGTCCATAGTTTGTGGTGGTGTTGGGCCATGGGTTGGACTCAACGATCTCAGAGGTCTTTTACAACCTAGTCGATTCTGTGATTGTTATTTTTTTTAGTTTATGAATTTCCTAAGCAGAATCACGCTTTGAAAAGCGGTACTGCCACTGTCTTCATCATTTATCCTCAACTTGGGCAGGGGACTCAATGAAATTTCAGAAGGGAAACATGATGGATATGGCCAGCTCAGGAAGTGTACTGGAATAAGAGATCTTTCTTTCAAATGAAATACTTTTCTTACAAACTTCCTAAAATGCAGAGTGACACAGAAATTCTTCTAAATTGTCCTTTCCCACAGAAAACCAAGGAGCAGTAGAGCCCCATAATCATCTGTTTCAAAACAGGAATACTTCAGCTCAGTGAAAGTTGCAGAGGTGCCAGAGTGACCCTAGAAATGGAAAGTGCGTTGTGATTTTTCATATATTACTGCACACAGGCCTTTGCAAATGCTGGAATAAATATAGCAGGTTTTGTAAAACATGTTTTCCAGGCTTCTTGGAACACCAAACTACAGCAAGTATCTTCAGGACAGCTTCCTTAAAAATATACCTGATGAAATGATGCAAAAAGTTGTTGGAAAAAAGGTTCATTTCCAGAATAGAAAATGGCTCATAAATAATACTGTTTAGTATCTTTTATCATATAAGCACATCAGAGTTGTTCATCACTCTGCTTACTCTCAGCAAGAACAGCCAACCTCCCTCCAGTTCCAAAACTACAAATATGTCTCCTGAAGTCAGTGGAGCAGTAAAAGTGTTGCTGTCTACAGCACATTATGAAATTCCAGAAGTCTAATTATGACCTGTTTATCACTTTTTTTAAAAGGAATTATTCTGGAATATGTAGAAGGTGGTGAGTCAAAGACCAGACCTATAGATCTTCTTGATCTTAAACCTGAGTAAGTATGATATTATTTCAGATAACAGTACTCTCTACTGTTTTATAGCATGTTCATATACCACTCTATTTGACTGTTTTAAACATAATTGAGGTCAGCTATTACATGGAGCCTACATGCTCTACTCAGCCAGCTCTGGTAGGAAGAGCTTTAGAAAGATAACAAAAAATGCCACCATTAAATAAAGTGCCAAAATCTCTGGAGTTTATTAGGCAGAAAGGCATGAAGTAATATGATTGTCTTAATACCAACAGTGACATGGAAGAGTCCTTGCATGTAAGCCAAAGCCAGTAGACAATGTAGGCTGCATATGCAAGATGAAAAATCCAAATTTAAAAATTACTAATTTTTGTCTACCTGGAACTGTCCAGAGTAGTACTGTGGATAAAACCTAAGGAGTCACTTTGTGAAAGAAATAAGTTGTCTGGTGAACAGGAGTATAAACACTGAGAGGATACTAATTTATGGGGATGTTAGAGGCATCCATTTAGAGGACTGATACAGAAAATCCCCTTTAGACTGCAATAATTTACATACAACCAGAAATGCTTGGCTTTCTTGCTAGGACTAGTTTTAAGAGCATGTTGGTGCTTTGACTGCTGGGTATTGTCAGCTCCTAGTTTCTCATTCTGCTGGTGGTCAGGAATCAGCAGTTTATCTGATGAGATGATCCAATTCCACAGGCTAGCTGTGAACCACTTCCTGGGGCTCCATGGGCATCAGTAGGCTGTGGACCACATCATGGTAGTTATCATAACTAAGAGTTATAGAAACAGGCATAGATTTGTGAAGCCGCAGGCAGAGATAATTTTAACACTTTCTATATATAGTTTATTTTGTTACTATTTCATAGGCAATTAATTTGGAATTTATTCGAAAAGTGACAGATTGGGACACACATTTCCCATGTCGGACCCTCTGTGGAAATCCTTTGGAAAAGTTAATTTCCTGCCAAGCTACAATTTTTAGAAATTAAATTTTTCTGTACAACTTTAGTAAGAGAGGGAAGGAAGCATAAAAACCAAGAAAGATTTGTCCATGTTTCTTTAAGGCATTACAGAATGAGATAAACACATAACATTTAATTGCTTACTTCAGTTTCTCTGCAAGTAAATAATATTCTTGGGTTTACATTCATAATTATTGCCAGAGGATAAAATCTGGTGGGTTTGTGCTTAGTTTTTTGGGAGGGATTTGTTTTAATTCTTTTCTTATAATTAGCACAGATGTCACAGCCTTAGTAGAAGAAATTCAAAAAGGAGAACCTCTCATCACAGCTACCTGCGTGGAACACGTCATACTTTTAGTACGAAGATTGCAGCAGAAGCTGGTGGAAAAAGAGAATCACAAATTCTCTCTTTTTAAGGTCAGAGGCGTGTTTAAAACAACTTGGAGCATTTTGGGGGGTTTAAGTTGTGGTGCTGTGAGTATGTTTTTCCTGCTGCATATTATGCTGGAGAGCAAAATTTGGACTTTATGACTGATTTCTTGCCTGTTTTCAATCCCCTCTGTGCTGTTCAGAGCAACAGAGTCTGGCCTGGTTTTATGTGCTGGGAATTCCCCCAGAAGGCTGAGAGGTATAACTGTTCCCAGACTCTTTACACAGGGTTATGCACAAGGGTGTGTTTTGAATGGAGAGAAATAAATCTTTTATTTATCAAGTAAAAATTTATGGACCAGCAACACCCCTAATTTGTTTAAACAAAACCTGTAAATAGACTCCAAGTAAAATAGCTGTTGGGAAAAGAACATTGGAATTGGCATTGGAATGGGCTGCCCAGAGAGGTGGTGGATTCACCATCCCTGGAGATTTTTAAACGCAGATTGGACATGGCACTGAGTGCCATGATCTAGTAAATGGACTGGATTTGGACCAAGGGTTGGACTCGATGATCTCGGAGGTCTTTTCCAACCCAATTGATTCTATGATTCTATGATTTTTGTACCCTTCTCTACTTGTTCTTCATTTTGTGAAAAATGTGGGGTTTGTGCTATTATTTTGTGAAAGTTTTGGGGGTTTTATGCAGTTGTCATTACTAATCCTCGTTTTTATTACTTTCTGTCATTACTATTTTGTTTTAATATTGATAGTTTGATCTTCAGCTTACAGACAGCACTTCAAAAATTATTTCAAACAAGTAAGCTTTTTAAGAAAGCTTACTGAATGATTGATTAGAGAGACCTTTCAGAGCTTCAAATCCAGGATCCAGTCTGTCCCCTCACAGTACACAATTTCTTCCTAACATCTAACCTAAATTGCGTGTTCCAATCTGAAATAATTAAATGTTGTATTTTTATTGTGTCAGCAGATGGCAGTGTGTAGCTGTTAAAAATTGCTGGTCAGTGCTATGTTGTGTATTGTTACTTTAAACTGAGAGAGTAAAGGGGGAAGTTTTGTCCAACTAAAAAACCCTTACATGTTCCTAGATATAACTTCGGTTCTTTTGACCACCGGTACACATCTGGTTGAATTCTGCAAAGATATGTGTATTTAACCTTGAAAACAGAGCTATGTAATAGGGCATCTTAACTTAAAAGTTTCTGTTCTCTTTTAAGAGATGCTCTCAACTGAGATAATGCCTTGCTTTTCAAAAACTTTTAAAATTGTTTGTTCATCATAGAGACTGATAAATTCTCAAATGCTTGTTCAAATTTGAGTGTAAATAATGTATTTGTTCATTGTTGGGTATAATGCTGTATTTGAGCTTCTGTATTTGGAAATAATAGAGGCAGGCAAATCCAATCAGTGCTGGCCTATTTCCTTCACTGGAGTAGTTGGAAGTGTGTGAAAAGAACTTCTGTGATGTTACAGTTTCATTTAAGGCTTGTAAGTGAAACATGAATATCAGGTGCTTCTGAGGTGGGTGGGAGTGAGATTTTTTTTTTCTTTTCTCCCCCAAAAATGTTCCATGTCTTTGCATTGTTTGGAAATGAATGTTTTGTCCCTGTTGCACTGGAGTATAATCTAAAACAAGTGTCTAAACTCATCTTTTTGTTATTTCCAGTAATTGTGGTGATGGTGCTGTGTTAGGTACCCCACAGAGAAACCAGCTTTTGTAACAATTCTCAGGTTTTAAACTATTACATGGCATGGGATGCTGTAGTGATTTACACATTTTTATTTTAGGTCCTGCTGTAGCAGATTTTGCAGAACTGAGGTATATTTTTTTAATATTGTCATTACTGCACCATTTGCACAAGCAATTCTCCCTGACTCAGAGTTATGTGGATGAAGCAATTGCAGCACTGAAGAACAGAATTAGTCCCATGATCTGAAATTAAATATAAACCTATCTTGTTTTCCTCCCTTTTTTTCATAATTTTTGAATATCTTTGTTCAGAGCTGCCTGCATGGAGTCCTAAAAATGTCATGGATCAAATTTCCCTAAATTTCCCTAATTATCCATCCTCATCTGCAGATATTTATGTATTGTGGCTGTTTTTAAAAATCAAAATATTTTTGACATTTCCACATCTTGACTGCTCATTCCCACTGCTGTAGCTGAAAGTACAACTTATGTTACTTTCTCTACAGAACAGAAATTGTTTCTGTGACATAAAATATATTTTCTGTTTCTCTCTCAGTCCTTCACTTGACCATTTTTATTTCCATTTTGATGAGTCCTTTCTCTTCTGAGTAGAAGATCAATGAGCCTCTTTCATTTTCCTTTTGGAGACAGGCAGCTTGGAAAACTTGAGATAAGGACAATAAGTTGAAGTTCTGGTGACATGTCAGTGATTAAATGGCATTGCTCATAAATCAATTCTTCTTCATTCTCACACTACAGAAAAAACCTAGTGAGCCACTGAGGTATTTGTAACATCCCTTTACTTTCCTGTCAGCAATTGCTGTGATTTCCCAGTTTATGGTTTTATTATGCTTTAGTCTTGAGTAGAGGGCAGGGAGTTGTTCAAATGCAAACTGTGTTGTGCAGTAGCCAGTTTATTCAAACACCAGCCAGACTGTATTTTTTTTTTGTCTATTGGCAGTGTCTGAAACTGTTTTCACCTATGTTTAATAAACCTCAATATGTTTTATTATGGCTATAGGATCATGAAACATATATACACTCTATTTAAAGGACTTTGTAAGCAATTTTAGACAACAGTGACCTCCATAACCTACACAGCACAGGTAGACATTAATCTTGAAATGCTCTCTTGAGTTTTGTCTTGCCAAGTACCTTTGTTATGGTTTTTCATGCCTTGTCATAATCTCATAGGACATAGATGCAGCTTATATCTATTCTTTCTGGGTTTTATAGTAAAATCACATGCTAGCTAGAAGTTGCTCATATCCTGAAAGACTCAAATACTCAATTCAGTTGGATTTCTTGATTCACTTTATAAGACTTAATATTAGTTGAGATTTCTTTCATCAGTGGTCCCAGCAGGCATGATCTCCTCACTCATTTGTTTTGCCCTTTCAGCTCTGATCTAGGGTTTCTTTGCTGGTCTCAGAGAAGATGAATTAAAATCAAGCATGGGGGAAAAGGCAGTTAATTTAAATAAAATATAAATTTGAAATAATTTAAAATAAATAGTGTATAATATCTTCACTGATAACCTGATAACACATGGGGAATTTTTTAGTTAGGGATTAATGTATAACAGCTTTAACTGGTAGTTTGACAGGAGGAGGAGAAAAAATTAACCTGTCGAATATTTTGAGCAATGTTTTTGTTTTATTTGCATCGAATGTTTTTCCTCTCCCTGCCCCACTTCTATTTCAGGTGCTTAGAACACATCTATTGCCACTGACTAATGTAGCATTCAACAAATCTGGTTCCCGGTAAGTTGTTTTCAAAGTCAAAATACATAATCACTAATTGAAGTTTGGTATTTGTAAATTAAATGGGAAGGGAACTTCAGTGCTCTTATCTTGCTGCAAAAAGAGTTCAGCTGTGCTGCTTATAAGCAGCTTCAGGCACAACTGGGGATTATATTTTGGGCCTCTGTTGGAGAAATAATAGGAGATGCAAAAAAGTAGCAGGAGGGATTCAATTTGTGCAATTTTTTTCTTCCAAGGTGATAGTTTGTTGATAATTACCATGTTACAGACAGAAACACCTCTATGACAATAAACTGCATGTTTCTAGAAGCTAAGTGAGTCTTTAACATAAACTAAATTGGGACTTTCACTATAGTGGAAGTGTAACTTTCATGTTAATTGATTTCCATGTGGACATGTGTCTTATCATTTTTTCCTTCATGTCTTGAAAGCAGCAGCTTGCTTTCTAGGTGAAATACATTCAAGATTAGAAGAAAGGTGTTTTTAGGAATAATGTGTTTTAAAGAAAAGAAAAAGAACCTCTATGGTCATTAATCTGTATTTTTGAAAGAAAGAGATTTAGGGTCTGAGACAGTGCTAATTGAAATCTGTGGAAATAACTCATTTGACTGTGCTCAGAATTTAATTTCTCTTTGCTTTAGCTTTATCACTGGAAGCTATGACAGAACCTGCAAACTATGGGATACAGCATCAGGAGAAGAGCTGCATACACTGGAGGGACACAAAAACGTTGTCTATGCAATAGCTTTCAATAATCCCTATGGGTAAATATATTTCCTCTGAGATACCTCATAATTGCTAATCATGTTATTTTGCAAATACTCTAATATAAAATAGATTATTTCAAACTGAAAGAGTTCAACTTCTGAATTTGTAGAGTTCAACTATAGCTAATCACTGCGGGGGGATACTATTTTATTTGTACATTCAAACATGTTTTCTGCTATAATTTTTTGAAATAAAATTTAGAAATTCTGACCACAAATTTAATTATGTATTCAGTCTTGAAATATATATATATAAGTCAGTTTAATATATTGAAGTACAGATTTATTTCAGTAATGCCTACAGGATCAGATTGTGTTCTGAATGTTAATGAGAACACATAATTGTATGTGATGTGAGATATAAGTACTTATGACAACCTGTGTTGCTTCAGTTAAGGAGAAAGAAAAGTTCTGTCACAACAGAACTGGATTTCTCCATTTGGTATTACACATTCATTATTAGTTAGGACATGATTTAGAAGTTCAGAGCTGTTGAGTAATTTTTATAAAATCCACAGGGGGCCGCTGTGTGAATGTCAAATATGAATCTCTGCACCTTTGTTTTCTCCAGTAACTTTGCCCTAGGCTGGGATTGCCACCTGTTAGGTGAAGGGAATTACATGTTAGCTACTTCAGTTTCTTTGTCATTTGCTTCCTGAGAAAGCTATCATGTGTGAGAAAACCATTTTGTTTCTCTGCAAAGATAAATTAATTCCTGTTTTTCTATTGGATCATGTTACTTCTTTTGCTGTCAGATGTCCTATTTATCAGTTAAGCAATCCATAGTTAACATCAGGAAATAAATGTTAAAGACTTGTTCTTTAACACTATTTGAGGCTTCATCTCCTTCTTCAATATGAAAAGGAAAACCTAGAACCTGCTTTGTCAATGTTTTATATTCTGATGTTATTCTTCACTTTAAAAAAAACGGTTAATGAAAATCTTTTGTATACTTTTTAGAAACTAATGACAAAAATCTGTGCAAAGATCAATAATTAGACTGTAAAAGTGGAGAAACAAGATACACACAAGAGAATCTGATCAGAACCGTGAACTACTTTTACATTAAAATTTCATTAAAAAAAGAATGTTTTTTCCTGCTAATCTTTAGGTGTTGATTCAGTGTCCCTTGCTACATTTTCTGGATACCTCAGTTCAGTCTTGCTCTAACTGCAGTTGGTCACACCACTTCCACTGACTTCAGTGAGAGTGGAGTTTGACCTCTGAAATTTGGGTAAACTGCTTATAAAAGGAGTCTATAATGGTTGAAAAACAGATGTTATCTGATGAAATGGCGTAACTTTTTAATGCACCTGGAAGTACAGCAGATAACATCATCCCTAAAGTAGTGTAGTCAGCAGTTATGAACACTTCTGTGCTCACAGATAAGTGCAGTGACTCTCTCAGAAACTAATTGTGTCTGCTAATTTTTTCCCTTAATGTAACTTGTGTCTGTGACCTCCTGCTCCAGGATCTTGTAGTGTGGCAGTGCGTGCAAGCTTCCATGGCTGGGTATGTTTCTGTGAGTTCTGCTGTCTTTGGAGTCAGAGGTTTTTTCTGACTAGAAACGATAGGATTTTTTTCCATTTAGTGACAAGATTGCCACTGGATCTTTTGATAAAACCTGCAAACTGTGGAGCACGGAAACAGGAAAATGTTATCATACTTTCAGAGGACACAGTGCAGAAATAGTGAGTAGTGCTGGATATTTCTTATTCCTTTGTTTCCTCACACCATCATTGGTGACTGTGGGTTCCAACTCCCCATGAGCTCCCATTGAAAAGCACAGCTATTCTGCTCCCCTTATTCACAGATTCAGATATTGTTAACACTTCTGCACTGCAAGAGAAGATAATCTGACAGTTCTTAAGAGAGAAAGTGAACCATCATATACATATAAAAATATAAATATTTTTATTTTTACTTTGTTCCAATTTCCCCCGATTGCTAAATGTTAAAACATTGAAAAATACCATAGCATTTGGATTTTTCAGTTTATTGTACATATTTATTGCTTGATTACGTATCACATTTTTTTTTAGCTATCTTGCATTGCCTCTCACATTTGCAGAACTAAATACATAAGAACATCATTGCTTGTCTTGTCTTTCACACGGAGATCTGAACTTCATGTACCGAACCAACTGGAGTCATAAAGAATGAATTTCTGAAATTTAAACTGTGTTAATTTGGAATATGTGGGATGCTGAAATATCAAAGATCTATGAAATTAAAACAGTTTAAGCTCAATAATTCTTGGTTTCCTTTCCAATGCACTAGGACCCCTATCAGCAACAGCAATAGCTATATAATCACTATTCAATAAAATATTGCTGGACATTGTTTCTGGGGAAAAAAAAAAGAATTTAATGTAGATTGTGAGGCCTTAACTAGTGCAAGAAAATGGTGTTTTACCATGGTGGAAGGTGAGGTTTGTTTCAGTGTGCTTTTGATTCTCTGGATAGTGTGAAGTAGTTATCCCTTACAATGGAGAACATGTTTGCTTATTGAGAAAGGCTGCAGTGATTTTGCTTCCCCAGATCAGTTAGGTAAATGTTTAAAGGCCTCTCAATTTTTTCTGACTTCTGTAGAGGTTAGATTAGACCCAGAGTGTTATGAGTTGTGGCAGCAAGTAATTAGTAGAAGATAATAGCCAGCAAAAATGATGTGTTTCTCTGAATGAGGCCTGTTTCTGAAAGGCTATTATTGCAGCTGATACATTGCTGGCAAGGGCATGTCTATAGTTATTCAGTATTCAAAAACTGAGCTACTGTTTTCCTTTTTTCATGGCACCTCCTATTCTTTATTTGCAGAACAATCATATTGAATAATTACAGAGAATGGGAGGATGGCTACATGATTTTTTAATGTGAAAAATGAATTAAGCAAGTTGTTGAGCTTTTGTTCTTGCTTTTTCAAAAATAAATATGATGTTGTGGGGACGCCCTTGGCAAATGACATAGATAATAACACCTGAGAGGATAAGAGTGTGAGTGTACAGAGTGTGTTTGTGGGTACACAAAACTGTTTGGAGGGTCTTTGCCCCAAACTAACCAAGTTAAAGAGGAAGCCTACCAAATGATAGTGTTAGGGAGGACTGTCAGTAGAATTGAACTGTAACTGGAGAATTTCAAAGAGAATTTTGAAATAAAGAAGTTGAAATTTGAAATAAAAAGAAAGAAGTAGAAGAAGATAAAAGAATCAAGACAAATTATAATGGGGTGGGGGAGACATTGGTCTGGAACCAGTTGTTGTCAGTTGTCAAAACCTACTCTGGTGCTTCCATAAGTCACCCTGAGCATCCCAATCTCTGCATAGACCACAGGTAGAATAGCTTGTTTTTTGGAGACACCATTAGGAGTCTGCATCCAGCTAGTGGATTGTCAGTATGAGGTTCAATGAGAAGGCCCTGTTACCACCCTGTAATATGTACATATATGAATCTGGATGCCTCTTTCCTGGAATGTGGATCAGGAGATAGTGGGAAGTGGCATGAATTCAGCTAAAGCTGGAGCACTTGTGTCCCTTGGGGCAGGTGTGTGGGTATTTGGGGAACACATACTCCTAGGAAAGGATGTGCTTGCAACCCACACATCCTGTGAGAGAGGATGAGTGTGCGTGCAGAAGTGTGTGTGTGATTAAAACCTCTTTGGAGTTAGAGGAGGAGGTTTAAAAATTTGCAACTGTTTATTAAGATTGCATAAGCTTATCTATTTCATTATAGATACTGATACTGAAGACGTAGTTCTCTGCCAGTTAATTATGTGCTGTTAATAAATTAGCAAACTCCTTCAGTCCTGTTTTCATTAAAACTTTGTGAATTAAATAGTTTTTCCTTGTGACAAAAATGAAACAGGCTCAGAAAACAATACAGGAAAACTTCCAGTAAGTCTTTAGTGTACTGCTGTTGCAAAGCAGCCAAGTAGTCCACTTGATTTGGGTAGTCATCGAGAGTTATGTGATAGGGACTTGTTGCCCCTCTAGTGAGCTGCTGGAAGAACTCTGTAATTTTTCTGTATGCCATAAAATATTGTCAGACTTTTTTAAAACTATTAATCTTGACCCCTTGTTTTTGGCAAAATATATATAAATAGACTCCCACTTTTTCTATCCAATGTTTTTTGCTACAGGTATGTTTATCTTTTAATCTTCAAAGCACGTTGGTGGCAACTGGAAGTATGGATAGCACTGCCAAATTATGGGACATAGAGAAAGGAGAAGAAGTAGCCACTTTAAGAGTATGTTTGCCATATGTTTTTAAAGGTGTTCCTTGCTTTCTTAGTTTTCCAACTGAGGTGAATAACATTACAGCAGTTTCAAAACTTGCTTAATTTCTTTTACCACGTGGTCCCACAGTGACTGCAGTTACAAAACAGAGTAAGAAAACTTGAATGTAATGAGAAAGCTGTGGTATTTTATAAAAAGCCCTATTTATCAAAAGACAGATTTTCTAATTTCAGTGACGTTCCTGCTATGGATTAGAATGCCCTCATTAAAACATGTTGCTGTCCTGTAAATTGTGATCTCCTCTGTATGGATCTTCCTGTGAACATCAGCAGAGGACAGGCATCCAGTTACCTCTAGATTGTCATCTCTCTTTGCTCTACATGGCTTGCTGGGATTCCACAGGTTTAGATTGGCCTCTGCTGTTTCAATGCATTTCTCTTGTGTAAATCCTAAATAATATAGTGAGTAAGCTTCCTGCTAAAGGGGTGTGCCTGCTTTTTTGCAGTTGTTGGGATATTGGCTATTCCAAGTTGGGTAGATATTTCTGTCAAAATTGTGATATACTGGCCCAGACAGTAAATAAAACATTAATGGGTTATAGAAAGATTATGCTACTGAAAAAATCCTACATATTAAACTATATTAATGGTAAAGTCATAATTTGTATTCTTATACTCCTTTTTAAAAATCCTCTCAGGGGCACTCAGCAGAAATTATTGCACTCTCTTTCAACACCATTGGAGATAAGATTATCACTGGCTCCTTTGACCATACAGTAGCAGTATGGGATGTTGGCACTGGCAGGTACTAAAGCACTAATAAATACGGTTTTACTTTGCATGCTTTCTGGACAAATGAAACAGTGCTGAGCTACAAATTACAGACCGCATATTTCATTTAGAGTATATGTTCCTTCATCTTGTCATTTGTTACTCCTTTGTGCTTCTGAAAAGGAATGCTGCTCATGAAATGCTTTAGTATGTGGTTTTTGTTTTAAATTTCCATCTTATGAGCATTAAGGAGGCAGAAGGAATGGACAGATCCTGCACTTGTTCCTCGTGAATTCTCCAAACGGGAAAATATTTTATCCACATGGAAACTCATGGTTTGGAAGGTGTCGAGAATTTCTAGATGGAACAGATTGTTTAAGTAGAAAGAAAGTATATTTTATGTCATAGAAAATTCATCTGGTTATATTGTCTTAAAGAACTATAGAAGTTGCAGTCAGAAAGATTATGAGCAAATCATACTTTGCTGTATAGAGGTTCAGGTAGAGTTGCAGAAATCTTCTATGTGAGGTTGTGTGTGCATGTTTTTCACCATATGAAATATATCAGAAACACTGCTTTCCAAAGCTGAGCTTGAACTTGGAGTTTCTTCTAAATTTGCTGGCTGACTCCAATAAGCACGTGTGTTCCTCAGTTTTATTCTGGGTGGGTATCCCAATTTGTCCTGAGGGAATTTGATGTAGGGCCAAGAAATCTGAACGAGATTCAATATTTTCTTCATAAAATATTAAAGTTAAAAAGACAAAAACAAGGAGGAAGGGGGAACCTGCTTTTTTAATACAGGTCTATATTTAATCAGTAATTTCTCCCTGGCAGATTCAGTTGGCTATAGTTCAGTTGAAGGTGTCTGCAAAGCTTCATTTGGCAAATCAACAGCTTGTACCAGGGGTCAGGGTGCTGAGACATAAACAGTTACTTATTTGTAGTTATGGTCAAATACAAGAGCATCTATATACTAAATTTCACTGGAAACTGAAAACTAAAGAAGTATTATCATGGCTGAAGCTGATTTTTTTTTAATAAGTAAATGGAATTTTTTTATGGCACTTTACAAGTGTCTTTTTGTGTTCTTTCTAATTGTGTATCTCATAGATAGTGGTTTCTGTGAGATGTTCCACACCTTGCTTTTTATTCTGTTTATTGATTGGATCTTTATGTTGAAGATTGAAGCCCATCCTGACTTCTTTAAAATTGGAAATTAAACCTTTTAAATTTTAATTTAAAACTTCTTTCTTTATTAGGTATTTTGGGCATTAGGTATTACAATAACAATAGTTAAATAGCAGAGCAAGTAATTTGTTTATAGAAGTAAGAAGTTTCCCTCTCTTGTTATCTGCTTGTTGGTTTTTGGTTTTACTGTAAGAAGTTCTACATGAATACAAGTGTGGGCCTCACAGTGTTAGAAAGTAAAATCTATAAAATAATCTGAGTTTAATCAAGTTTTTGTTATCATAAACAGATAGAAAATTCAGTTGCTCAGGAGATTTGCTTTGCTGTTTTTTTAGCATATATATTAATTTAGCTACCCTTATATATCTTATGCAATGAATAAAAACATTTCAGTCACTTAAATTAATTTAGTTGTTTTCCTTGTCATTAGTTTATCCATTATTTAAAGCGTGTTTCTATTAATGATACAGTGATATTAGCACTGTGATAATAACCCAATTTACTAATCCTTTAATAAATATATATCTCAATCTTTTTTAGGCTTCCTTGCCTTATAGGCCATTAATTCTTAGGAAGCAATAGCAGCTAATTGTAACCTCTCTGTTCTGATAAAGCTGAAGAATTTAATGTAGCCAGTCTTGTGCAGCAAGAAGTTTAGGATTAATGAGGATTAGAAATCATATTTCAGTTTGGCCGTCATTTGCCTGTTATTTGGGAACATGCTCACATTAAGCACCTGATTAAGTTCTATTTGATCTTCAGTGGATTTTAGAAAAGGTTTAGATTACACAGAGTTTTTTAAAGATGTACTGTTTACAGTTCATTGAGGTAGGATAATGGGATAGTAACGTGGAAAAACTTGCTGTATATTTTGAAGAATACAAGGAATTTGTCTCTGATACTGGAAAGTCATTGCATTTCATTGGAAATACATTCACTAAAATAGTTTTGAAAGAGAAGGGAGGACTTTTCCATTTTATTCCTTACTGCCTCTTTTTATCAAAGATAGAAAATGGAATTGATGTAGTGGAAGAATCCTAAATGAACTGTACCACTCCATTTAATTGCTTTAATGGATAAAATGGTGAAGACGTTCACCTTAACTATAGCATTTTATAAACTTACCGATAATTTCTATGTATATATCAAAATGCACACTATAACTGTAAATTACCTTTTTTTCTGTAGGAGGTTACATACTTTAATAGGTCACCGAGGAGAGATTAGCAGTGCCCAGTTCAACTGGGACTGTTCTCTCATTGTCACTGGATCAATGGACAAAACATGCATGGTAAGAATGTTGACTATATACTGAATGCAGCTACTTGACATATAAAAATATATATATATTTTCAATAAAAGAGCATTATTTTAAACTAGTACATGTAATTAAAAATTTATAACTAAATGTATGCTTATTCATTTCAGTGAAGTCCAGTTAAGTCTAGTTTAATCAATACACTGAAATAAAAAAATATATAGGACTTTATTAAACTAACTAGCCAGTGACTCTTTATTGATTTGTATCCAGTTTTTGTGTTAATACATGTCAGATATCAGAAAGGGCCTCTATGTATTGCTTTATCAAACAACTAGGTATCTATCAAGTAAATTAGTCGAAGTAAGCAAAAAAATTACCCCTATTTATCTGTGCAGCTGTGGAATGCTGTGACTGGGACACATCTGGCAACTCTGGCAGGTCACAGGGATGAGATCCTGGATGTGTGCTTTGATTACACCGGCCAGCGCATTGCGACTGCCTCTGCCGATGGTGAGTGCAGTGACTGGGCTGCTGCAGGAATTCAGCTGTGGCACTGGTTTTGCTCTGAGTGTAGCTTGATGGAAGAGGAGTATTTGATTCAGAACTGTAGGTCAAGCAATGTTTGTTGTATTATAGAAAGTTTGGCATTAAACTTAAGCAGTTTTCTCCAGTGAAGATGTTCTTATTTTCATACTTTGATCGACTCAGTGTGTGTTTCCCCTTTAACTTCAAACTTGGAAGGAAATATTTCACTTGTGGTTGGAAATATGTTTTAAATATGTAGGTAAATAGCTTTTGAGGGGGTGATTTTTATGACTCAAATTTAGGCTTAAATGAAAATAGTTGGAATTTTACTGGCGGCTTTACTACCAGGCTTTCCACATGCACAGGAAGAGAATACTCAGTACGGAGGTAGTGAAAGAAGCAATTTTGGTTTGTTATTGGTATGCAGAAGTTTTACATGCTCATTATTTTTTTAGGAATTGCAGTAAATAGTTTTTTGTATTTACCTGCTCAGTTATTTATATTACAGTGCATAATGACAATACCATATTATTTTTACATATATAAGGGCTTTGATTTGCACTTCCAGAAACAGGATACCAGACTGAATGGGGGGCATTATTTTGGATATGTTTTGCTGTAGTTGCTAAATTCAGGCAAAAGACAATGTAAAAAGTTTCCTGAAATTTAATCAATAGCTTATTAAGTATAACGAATAGCTTATTTAATAAAATGAGTGTCTGAAATATAATAAAAGCTTTCTAGATACAGTGTACATGCTTTCTGAAATTATAGACTTCAGTAGTCTGGACATTTGTATTTGCATTTTAGAAGTTTTCCAGGAGAATCCATTTCTGGTCAGGAAAGGAAGTCAGGCTTTTCCAAACAGAGTACAGATCCTTTTTAATAGACTTTACCCTTGGAGGAAGCTCTATGAAGATTGCCTTCTATTTCTTTTGAAATGAAGCCTGAGGATGAGTTCCTTCTGACCTCATTGAAATGTTCTTATTGAAATGCATGCTTAAGCATAACATATGGCTCCCCATCTACTGCAACAGGATCAGCAAGAGTCTATGATGCACAAACACAAAAGTGCATTGCAAAGCTAGAAGGTCATGGAAGTGAAATTTCCAAGGTAAGTTGTCTGTGGTTTGCACCTTTTTTTATTTCCCTATGTGTGACTATCCAATCCATCAGTTACTCCATGACACAGAAATACTGTTAAAGCATGTGGGAATATAGAAATTATTATTTAAAATTGAGAGGTCTGGCTAAGAAGTTGTCTTTACTAATAGAACATTCCTTTTGGCTAAAAGCTATCAGTCAGTGACTGTTTACCACTTCCCCACTTCTGAGCTAAGATAGCCCTGGGGTTGCTACTCCTGTAGGCTCCAAGAGCCACCTCTCTACACTGTCATGTTATTTACTATTTTATTCCTTACAATTCTGGCAGCTACTTAAGAAGTCCATCCCTCCCAGGGACAGATATCTGACTTTTTAAACATTGAAATGACTTGTTTTCCTTAGCTATTTCCTTTTGCTGAAACAGTTTACAGGTTGGGTCACCACAATCACTTGGCAGGGAATGGGGGAGCAGAGAGGGAGATGCTGTCCAAGTGTTCTCTCAATATGATCAGAGTTAATAGAGCTTTTGTCTGACCTGTCCTAAATTGTACCTGTGTTATTGCACCCTTGGAGTCCCAGATTCTCTGACAGAATAAGCACCATATTTTTACTCTCTTGTTAACATCTTAAGGCTATTGTCTTTGAGGCTCTTACCATCACCCTTCTTCCTTACATCTACCAGATATATTCCTGCTTACTCTTTTTCATTTCTCTGCACACTCCATTTATGGAATGGCAAAAAATATTTCCGTGGATAAATACATGGAGAGTCTTATTTTCAAAAGTGCTTAAGGGACTTGGAAGTATAAAGCCTTTTTCAAAAATCACTTGGTCATGAGGAGTGTGCTCATGTGCTTTGCTGGAAGTCTTATCTGGCTCAATTTTGAACATCAAAGTTCTGTTCCAAATACATTTAGTTGCTTCCAACATTGTACATATTTTTCGAACTTTGTTATTTATTACTTGCAACTTTTTCTTATTCTTTCAAATTGATAGTTCTCACTAGCTTCAAAGCTAGAAAGCTAAGTCTGTGCTGCTTTCTTTGGATGTATTTTGAAATTGAAACATTAGTATTTTGAAACTAGGATGGTTCTTAGTGAACGGAACCCACCTTCTTTCATTGTATTGTTTTGTCTATTATAATCACTCTGCTGAGAGAATATTCAGTTCAGAAAGGCTGGTATTTCCTCATTTACTATAGTCACTGCAGTATTTCACACTCAGATCCACTGGGTACAGTTGGGACGTGTGAGTGGGTTAAAGACAGCTTCCATCATAGTCCTTCGTGCTGACAGGATTGCTTTGCTGGAAGTGAGAATCTGCTCATCTGGGAGCATGTTGAAAAGTCCATGTATTTCTGCAGATATTCTGGGTAGCTGTGACCACTTGGGAAGGTTATTACTTGGAAATTGGATTTCTAGGGAACAGATATTTTACCCTCAGTGATTAAGCTGTTTTGCAATATATAATAAGCTGGTATTGTCTGGTTAGTGCTAGAAAAATATACCTGATTATCTGGAAATGCATGCAGTTTTGGCAATGAATGTTTAACAAATATGAAGACATACTATAAAATGAATTGCTTTCAGTGCAAATTCTGATACTACAGAGATGCATGTTATTTATGTAGAACTCTATAAAATATGTATAAATTTTACATTGGAATAATGATAGCATTTAAATAAAGTCACTACAGTTGTGGATCAGTTGTCATTTTGGGGCTTGGTGTTCTGAAGTTTTGATCCTATGGTAAGGTCATTGTTTATAGACTTTTGTAAATCCACAGTTTTCAGCCAGAGAAGTTTGCCAATGTCACTCTAGTGAAATACTATCCTTAATTTTAGCTGAAAAGCTGAATGCAAGAGTTTTTCATTTCTGTTTTCATCTTTTAATCACTAGATACACTTCTTTCTCTAGGCATGTTGACTTGCTAAGTAACAAAACTCATTTCTGTATTTTTAAAGGTATGTTTCAATCCTAAAGGCAACTTTATACTGACAGCCAGTTCTGACAAAACAGCTCGACTCTGGGATGCTGCTACTGGACACTGCCTTCAGATATTAGAGGGTCATACTGATGAGATATTCTCCTGTGCTTTCAACTACGAAGGGGATACAATTATTACAGGTAACTAATATATTCCATTTTTTAATTTCTTTTTGAGAGACATTTGAAATCTTGTTATGGGAAAAAAAATAGTTTGAAAACTTTAGTAGGGCCATGTGCCAAATGCAGACACCAGCAGCGACTTACAATATAGTCAAGAAAATCTAGAAACTCACTTTAGAACTGAGGTTTAAGTGAAAATGGCCATGAACAAATTTGTGTAAAGGCATGGGCATACCCTCCCATCTCTCCTATGGCCTATACTAGCACCAGAGCAGGGACTATGCCATTTTCTCACAGTGCATTGCTGTGAAGGAGGTGTGGATAAGCAAAAGGCAAAGGTTTATAAATGGGAGCACATATACCTTTTGTGTATTTGGCACTGAACTCTGGTCAGGTGTTCTTCATTTCAGGAAAAAGTCATGGGAGCAGGAAAAGACATGAACAGTCAGGTTGCTTCAGTCATTTGACTGAACAACCAAAATATGGGATGCAGGATGACCTCAGCTAAAAATATTGCTCTAGACCTTGCTGCCTGTTGCCAGTCATGGACAGGAAAATATTTATGTGGTTCCTCAGCATTCTGGGTACATTGTTGATGTAGGTGATAACAAAAATGGATAGACTGTGTGATACAGATACATGATTCCTTCACAATGTGTGTCTATTACTAGGAAGCAAGGATAACTCCTGTTGCATATGGCACTGACTGAAGAGAAGGAAGGATACCGTTCAGTACCTGACTGCTCTGTAGTTCCAGAGACAATAAACTCAGCCTTGGAGATCTGTTTTCTTTTACTCTCTTTGTTCACCTTCTGCTGAAGTAGAACAATTACCAAGATTTGATAGGTTTGACTTAGAAGTCTGTTAGATATGGAATCGTGGAATCACAGAAGTTTGAAGGGACTGCTGGAGATCTTCTAGTACAACACCCCTGCCCTACTCAGCGCCCTGTCAACCAAGCAGGCTGCCCAGGACTGACAAGGTGTTGAAATCTCCAAGGATGGAGACTCCACAGTTTCTCTAGACAACAGTGGAATAGTTTCTTGTATTTCAGTTTGTGCATGTTTTGCCTTTTCACTGAGCACCAGAAGAGTCTGGTCTGTTATCTCAGTCACCTGAGAGAAATCATGATTAGTGTGAATGAATGCAGTAGGATGGCTCTGTTTCTTTAGGTGTCATTTTTAACTTGTAACCTTTTTAATAAAAAAGAAATACAGCATTATAATACTCACAGGTGTGAAAGGAGTGTTGGTGTACACTTGCTTAGAGTACTTTTGTATTATTTTTTTTGTGTGTGTAATAAAATACTGAGTTAAAATACCAGTTTGCTACTTGCAATACAATGTCCCATTAATATTTCTGGAGAAAACCAGCAACCATTTGGGAACTCCATTGCTCTCAACTTATTGCATGCATGCTGTAGTTAAACTCCCCACTCATACTTGCCCACACCTTTCCATTCCTTCCGTTCCTTTCTGCTCAGCCCTTGCTCTCGCATTTTGCCCTGGGATAAAAGAAAACTATTATCAGTGGTGACTCCAGCTTTGAATTGTGGCCCAGATATTAGGTTCAGCATCAAGAAACTCTCTGTACCAAAGATTTGAAGCCAAAGATTATGATATAAACTGAGAAGTGGATGAGAAACTCCTGCAAGTTATTTACCACCAAGTTGTTTACGATGAGCTCTTACCCAGGCTTACCTCATTCCAGCAATTGGCAATAGGCTTCACCTGTGCAGAGCTCTTCCCGCTATAGGCTTCACCTGTGCAGAGCTCTTCCCACTATAGGCTTCACCTGTGCAGAGCTCTTCCCACTTTATAACAGAGCACCTGGAACTGCAGGCCCTCTTTGTAGGGGAGTGGTGAAGGAGCAGAACTGAGTGGTCTCTTCCAGCAGACTTGGAAGAGGAGGCAAAAAGGGTAGGATCATGCAAACAGTGTGTTTTGGCTGCAGGAAGAAAGGAAGCATACAGCAGAGAATGGACTTGGAGGTATTTTTTTTATATTCTATGTCTCTGGGTGGTTATAGACTTGACTTCAAAATGTTATTAAATTTAATAGGATGTTTTTAGAGCTGATGTGTTGTGACTGTCTGAGCACTTGCCAACATCTTTGTGTGTAAATGAAGACACAGAAGTGCCTGTCATCACTTGGCAGATATCCTGGTTATTTCAAGTACTATCGTGTTGTGGGAGAACCAAGCACTGTGCTGCAGATAATTTAAAATTAAACCTTTCCCAGTAGGAAAAGTGGCTGATATATATGTTACTGTAATGCTTGTGGTGTTTCCTGTTGTCTTACAAAACGTTATGGTATCAAAAGTGTGTCTCAGTGATTTGGAATTGAAAGGGGTAGGAAGGGCAGTGCCATTCTGTGTTGCTTTGAAATTGTCCAGTGTCCCTAGGTCAGTTTGTACTTGTGATATGGGGGATTTCCAGCTGACAAAAATGGAGGAAAATTAGTGTAATGTATACAAATACTGCTACATAGTTAAAAACTGAAATTTGATGTGCTATGAAACTATCGCAAAGTAAAAAAAATTCTTTGGGCTGTGTCTGGGAAGCATGGGGTTTTTTTCTTAATCTTTCAGGTTGGCTTACTTTCTGTTGCATTTTCCTTTATGATTTTTCTCTTATGCTAGTGAATCAAATATTAGTAGTAGCTCTTGGTTTTGAACTCTTGTCCTATTTTTATGAGAAATTGGAGTTGAGGTTTCATACACTAAGCATTGAACTGGGAGGCCATCTGCGCTCTGTTTGTGATTCTCCCTAGATTCCTGTGTGCGTAGAACTGCTTTTCAGGTTAAAATACCCAGGTTTCCTGCTCAATTGTGAAATATTTTCACGTTTGGTGTGATTCACAACACTGCTGAAAGGAGTGCTGGCTTGGTGCCTTGTAAGAGCTTCTCTAGTACTCTAGGTACCATCATATGAGTGCTTTGATGTTAGGTTCTCTGCACCTTGGTTTACCCCTATGTAGATTTAATAACATTAGGAGTGCATTGCATAAATGCATCTTCCTGAAACCATTATGTGTATCTGGCAGCAGCTTGATCCCTGTCTCCAATTCCACTTTAGTTCCTGCAACCAAAATAGTGGATGTGTATACTCTAACTCTGTTACCTGGTACTTTTTTAGTCTTGCAAGAACATTTGGCTTCTATATACCTTGTATTCTTTAAGCTGCTACTTTAATCACTGTGTGGTTGGACTGAGATGTGGCTTTCAACATTATCCTGAAATGCTGACAAACCTGGTTCACTGTGACCATATTGAAAAGGATTACCTCAGGAGGCCTCTGAAGGGTGCTTTAGTAAGGCTTGTCACTGGAAATTGTATTTTCTGTATTGTTTCTGTCCTTTAGACCTTTGAAATCCTTTCAGTATAAACCTCTCTGGATATACAATTTTTTTTTTTTTCTGGGAAAGAAGTTTGTATCAGTTAACTGTCCTAGGACAGAACATACACTTTACAAGGATGAGGATTTTGTGTGAGCATACGATGTGTACTTGGACTCGTGACGTGTACTTTTTGTATCTCTTGAGATTCTCTTTCTGAATAGGTGAGGATAATAATCGTCATTCCCACTCATTTTTTAAAAGTGGCATTTTGTGAGAATTTCCTTTTTTGTCTCCTGTGGGAACACTTGTATTTCCTGGGTAGTTAGTGAAAGGATCTGAAATATATCCTGCTTGCTTCTATTTTCTAGTTTGCTGCAGTTTACTATTTAATCCTCAGCTGAAGCTGGGAGGAGGATGCAGTATTCATCAGCCAGACCTGACTTCACTGCAAATTCTTTTAGTTAGTTTGATAGTCTGGCTGTCTAGTTTAACTGTCTGTCCTGCTAAATGCTGTATAGCTGCAAGTTGCCTTCTGAGGGCCTGTTCCTAGCAATGACTGGATTTAGAGTTTGAACAACTGAAATAGAGGCATTATGGGTTTGCTCACACTTGGCAAAGGCTTAGGGATGGTTCTGCCTTGAATTAAAATTCTTAAATTGGCTACTATGCATGTGTTTTCCTTCTCAGCTGGAATTTGTTTTATTTAAGTAGGTCACATGGGCTCTTTATTTCAATGGAGTGGTATTCTTTTCCCCCCTTCCCCCTGGCATTTTGAAGTTTAGGCTTCAGGATTCTCAGTGACATTCCCATACTTGTCTGTCATAACTCTGCCTGAAACAGGATAAGAGAAACAGTAAAACTGGCCTCTTCAGAAAATTTAAAAGTTGAATTTAACAGGTGACTATATTTATTATAGATCACAAAAAAATGGTTAATTTACTTGAAGACACTATGAAAATCTTTAGAGGTATGACAAAACTGAGGTATTCTACTAATTTCAGTATTAAAAACTCCTAAACAAAACAAAACTGAAAATGAAGTTTTTAAATACTTAATTCAAATACAGTAGAATTACCTTGTGAAAAATAACCAGATCTGCCAGCCAAATTCTTCTCTTCGTTATGTGGGTGGTGAAGTCAAACCTGGGGAGGAAGGCATCTTTCCCTGAAGCCACCCTTGGGAAGGGGAGCACTGCAGCCACATCTGCTACTCCCATGGGTAGCTTCTGATGGCCAGGGCATCTCCTGAGACATCTCTTTCAAGTACTTCTCCAGCTCCCACTTGATCCTGTGTACAAGTCTTACATCCTCTCATTTAAAAACCTGTCAGCTCTTTCTGTTTGCCTTGAATCTGGTTCATATGAATTCCATTTGTCGTGTCTTAGTTTTTATTGGGACAGTGAACAATCACTCCCTCGTGATCTTAACATCTCCATCATGCTCATGAATGAGAGATTTTTAGCTAAGATTGTATTTAGTATGCTGTTCTCATTTATGTGTATTTAACATTCACTTTTAAAAACAACTGAAAAAATTAATGGTGGACAAGTTCAGTTCTGATTTACTCAGCTAAGTGGTGGTTTCCTTTTCTGTTTAGCAGTAGAAATACCCTTGCATCTCGGCAATAGGGCAGGAAATACCTCTGCAAACTTATACAAGTAGAGGAAACTCCTGAGCTTCTGTCTCCCCACCCTCCTGCCCACCTTTGCAGGTACTGAAAGCAGCTACACTGAACACTGACAGAGATTTGGTACACTGGGAGTTATTCTGGGCTTAATTCTCAGCAGTTAACGTGTCATTTTTCTTTATTTTACTGTGATACTAAGAATGTTATGATTAGCCTTTTATCTCTTGTATTAATTGTGGAACCCAGTAAAGAGGTAGCTTTGGTATTGAGGTAAGACCTGGCCCTTGCTCTGATCTGTTTTGGTTGGGGCCACGGGTCAGATCGTTCCTTCAGAAGCAGAGCTTTGGGAAGCTCCAGGGATGGGAGGCAAATATTATTTAAAAGGTAAAAAAAATCCATCCATGATCCCAATTCAAAAGCCCATTCAGGAACTTTCTAGGAAGGCAAAGAGGACGCACATTATAACATAAATTTATTTCTGAATAAATTGCAACATTAAGAACTACTGTACAGAGAAACTGCATCACACTGTTACAACTGTCATGATATTTGTGCTTTGTAGGATAAGGAAACATTTATTCTACCACAGCAAAAAGTTTTACTGACAACTAACTGTATTTGGTTTAAAAATAAATACATTTTCCCATTTATTAACTCAAACAAAGCACTTTATAATTCTCGGTGCTTTTCATTAGCTTTCAGCCTCAGAAATGCTGAGCTCACATTAGTGGGAGTTACGGATGTTCAGCAATTCTTAGGAGCTGGTCCAGTGACTGCACAGTTGTGTTCAGTGTTTGCAATAAACTGACCTTTATAGACAGTAAAACGACCTCCACTGTTCTGTATATGCTGCAGAGTAGATGGAGAATTACTCATGTTGTTTAATGCTCCACATTAGATTTTGATTCACCAACAATTTGTATTTTGTAACAAAGAAGTGATGCAATCATGCAAGTTTAGGAATGGTTTTAAAGATAAAATTGAGAATATGGCTCTTTTTCATAAATTATTTAAAACTACTTCAAACTTTTCAAAAATATTTAGTGCAAAAGGATAGGTTTTTTTTTTTTTTTTCAAGAAATATTACAGAAGCATATACTGTTATATGGAAAATAAAACTTCTCTTAAATATTTTTTGGGGAAAAGCAGGCAGGTATTCTATTATGCTGCTTGGGTAGGAGGGATGAAAGATGAGTATTTTCAAAGAAACAAACTGCAGAAGAGCTGTGATGTCATAAGTTATTTTTACCTTTAAATTCAAAACCAATCTCTTTGGCAGAGTCGAGAGAATGTACCAAGTGCATGATACCAACAGATCATCTCAACAAGACGATACCATAGTACATCTTATCAAACAGTTAATATAAATGTTAGAGTAACGTGAACTATCACATGTAGTCCAAACACTTATATCCAAAATGAACACGCATGTCTGCTGAAATTTTTACAAACATTTTGCTTTCTTGGAAGGTACAAAAATTAACATTAAGATTTCTAGGATGAGATGGTGCTCTTTTCATATATGCATTTCTTCACCTCATTAACAATATATTTGATTACACTAAAATTAAAATAGTACTTTTTTCACTGCTTTTAACTGATATGTAGAATGTTACATAGTGCTTTAAACAGAAGCACTTTAGGTAACAGCTGTACTGTCATTATTCCCTTTTACCAGGTAGGGACACTGAGGCACAGAGGTGAAATGAGCCACCCAAGGTCACGCAGCACATCTGTGGCAGGACAGGGCTTGTGCACCTGCTGCCCTGGCTCACAGAGCTGTTCAGGAGTCTAGCAGGTGGAGCTATACTGAACTGCACTGCTTCCCAGTGAAAGGGAATGAGTTTTTTTAAGGATAGTAACTGAGAGACTTGATTTTATTTCTTTGGGAAGATTACAGGAATCAGGAATAGCTATGGAAAGAAATAATCACATGGAAAAAAACAAACTAAAATGTATTTTCGGCAGCTTTTTATTTTGCTGTCTAACTGCAAAGGTGTTAAGTGTTCAAAAGCATTTCTCCCTTAGCAGACTATGGGGATTTAAAAAAAACCAAACCAACATAAATACTACTTTTTTAGGGACGAGGGTGTCTTCAGGCATCCTGAAACACACTCTGGCATTCTAGCAGACTATGGGGATTTAAAAAAAACCAAACCAACATAAATACTACTTATTTAGGGACGAGGGTGTCTTCAGGCATCCTGAAACACACTCTGGTTCTAATACTTAAACTGTACGAATATCAGTGTTGTTTTAAAACTAAATGTTAGTGTACATTTTAGCTGATTGATTTAATCAATTTGATGAAAATTGAACATATTAGGTAATTAAGCCTTTACTGTGTAGTCCATTACTTCAGAAGGCTAAAAATCCATCCCCTCCTAGTACAGTACATCCTATAGCACAATGTCAAGAGTCCCTCATGACACAGAAAGACACAATAACACCTTGGTTTCGCTTTGCTCCTTGGTGAGTTGTGGAACAGACGTGTGCTGTTTTTGTAGAGTTTGTATATCTTTGCACATTTTACTCAGTGATGTTCAGAAATCAGAGTGTTACACAAACCACTGCTCGTTTAAACTGGAATAAAACAGAAATGCTGGACCAGTGAGCTTTCTTAACCCAGCTCTAGAAGCCAATCAAAGAGGCTTGGTGTCATCTCTCTGCCTTCCTCGCTGAGCTTGCAGTACTGCACCACGGCGTGGAAGATATCCCCCACTTTCCAGGACTTCCGCTGAACTAGCTGCACAACATCTAAAAACTAAATAAAAACAACCAAAATGAAATGCACTTGGGGTTTGTTTAACATTTTCAGAGGTTTTGTTAAATGAATACACACAACCTGCTGTTAGTCCTTTGTAAATGCGCTGCTCTAGGAGGGAGTGGACAGCATTCACTGCACAGCAACATAAAGGTTCTTGCTATTTATAAAACTTCATTTTTGAAGTTCCATAACTCCCCAAAGACTGATTGGATCTCATGACATTTTCTAAATTAGCTGCTTCCATCCATTATTTCTTATTTATTGCAATGAAAGTAAAAACAGGGAAAGTGAGTTTGATAAAGGACCACTATTTTCCTCATTATCAACAACTCACTGTCAAAATAATGGAAGTGTGACCATCCATTTAAAGGAAAAAAAAATCTTTCTTCATTACCAGTAGCTATATTTTAATTTATATTTAATTTTCTGTATTTCTCCATATCCATTCAATAGTATTTTAAGTATTCACATAGTACTGGTGATAGGGAATTCTGTGTAAAATTTTGTCACATGAAGACATTTGCCACAGTTGTGGTTGAATCACAGAGAATATCTATATTTGATTTTTTTAATTTTCAGAGAAACTAGAGGTTAAATATATGTTCTTAAGCAGCTGTAAAAAAATCCTGAATTTTGTCCACTTTGTACTTAATAATAGGCTTCACAGTGTCATCCATCTGGTCCCTTTTTTTTTGTGAAGCACATAAATTAAAATCAAAGCTTTTTATTTCTTTGAATTTCACAATATCTAATTAGCTTTCTCCTTCTATGTTTCCAGCTTTAAACCACACAAGAAAATATTGTATGTCTCTAGTTAGTGTAGCTCTTTGCTATTTACATACTGAAGCCTAAACTTTTAATATGTATTTTAATGATATTTAATAGGCACGTGATTTCCAAGAATGCTGTTGTAGGCAGGATGTGCCTCATTATTCTCTAGTGTATTTTTGCAATTGAATTAACTGTTTGCCAAAGCACATGGGTAAAGCTGACAGCTGTTTCTTTAATTAGATGCAATTTGGACTGTTGCTGTTGAATGCATTTTAAATTATGTTTATGATTCCCAAATGGATGTACTCAAGAAAATCAAACAATATCTCTACTACTCAAAATGATCTTCCCCTAAGAGACCAAAATACTGATTTGTAATACTTTTTTCATTAATTGACTTGAATACTGTGACATGTTTTTAAGCCTTAAAGCTTGTGCTGTTCTTGCTGACCTTGGAAATGGGTCTCTTTTGGTCTTTCCTGAAATGCTGTGGCTGGTATTTGGTGGTATCTATAAGGGAGCACTAACTAATAATTCAGGAATAGAGTCTGCATCTCTTGTGGCCATCTTGGGTTTCAGTGTTCTCTCGGTGCTCTGGCTTGGACTAACCCCCATGAGGTTTCTCAGTTCTGGTAGCCTGTGTCTGTCTGCTGCTCTCTGCAAAGAGACTTCTGCTTTCAAAACAATGGTTGGCAGAGGCAAAACTACACCTGAGCAAGAGAAACAGTGCATACAGAGCACTTTTTAACTTGTAAGCCAGGGGAGGTGCTTCTGAATTTCCATACAATGATGCAATATATTACAATCAGTCAGTCTAATTTTCCATGTAACAGATGTGTTATTGCAAATATGGCTCCACTGGAAACAGTGGTGGGTCACTGCTGGGCTAAAACTGTCCCCGAGGGTAGTTTAAGGATATGCCGACACAGTTACGTCCTTCCTGCCCATCCTCTGAACTTTCCATCAGGTCTGGAGCAGGTTATGTCAGACAGTGAACCTGAGCTAATATAGATTGGCTTTATGTTGCAGTTAGACCCTTCTGTACACTTGATCAGTGGGCCTGTTCCTTGGAGGAGAGTAATCCTTTCCTGCCGGCACAAAGTGACTGTGAAGGCAATGAATTCACCCATGGCAGACTCACGTAAATGTAGGAGGAACTGTCAGGCCCAGGCAGTCCCCTCCTGTACCCTCAGCTGCAGCAATTTAGGAACAGCCACAAGTTCAGACCTGCCTAAGGCTGCCCTAATCAGTGTTGGAGACAAGACAGAACCAGCATAAGGACTGAAAATCTTACGTCCAACTAATGTCTCACATTATAGTGAGATCAGCAGAACTTTCTAAGTGTGATGTCCACACACAAGTGATTTTTATTTTTAATTTTTAAAGCTACATACTTTAACTCCATGTAAACCATCTGAAGCCCTTCAAATGTAGCCACATAAAGGACTCTGTTAATTCTGCCTTGGGCATTGGTACTTAATGTATCATTGATATGAAAAAGTGAGCAGCTTCATCAAAGCACGCTACAGAGACTTTGGAGAAGGTCTCATGGTAATGCCATTTCTTGTGCCATGGACAATCTACTAAATATTTCACATACCTTAAATTCTGACACACTTATGCTCTCATCACTTTCTCTAATAAACGGTAGTATTGCCATCTTGCTGTAATGAAGATGTTTTTGCCTCTTCTTTTAAGCTCAATTACTTCAACAAATCATAACTGCTACAGTGATTAATTAACTAATTCCATAAATACTACCTTTTCAATTCTGTTTTCCTGAGATTTCTTAAAATAGATGGTTGGAATTCCAAGTTCAGAAGCAGCTATCCACTGCAGGGTGGCTCGCAGCTCCACATCGGGGCACTCTGGTTCCAGATCAAAGTTTATCACCAATAGGTCCCTTTGACAGTTGGCTGTTCCCACTGAAAGCTCAGAAGTACTTTCTGGAAAAATAAGCCCAACAGTTACTGTGCAATTACTTGTGTTAACTTCAAACTGTATGCTTTAATTGATATGGTTTAACTTACCGTCTGTATTTTCTGTCTGTTCTTTAAGGAAAACCTTTTCTTCTACTAATTCACTTAGAAACAAACAACAACAAAGCTTATTAGTCACACTTAGGAACAGTCTACAACATTGCTTCATGATGAATAAACTTCTCCCTCAATGTAAGACCTAGAAAACTGCAAGAAAAAAGTTACATAGGATGAAATAATAAAATGCCAACTATATTTCATTTATTTAATCTGTAAATCAGGAAAAACTATGGGAATTGCAGCATTATTCCTGTAGTAGGATGAAGTACTTGTTTGTGTCATGTGTTACGTTTCACCAGGCTCTATGTATCTTTACAGTTTACATAATGACAAGCAAATGACATTATGGTAACACACAGCAAGTCTCATAACCTGGCTGGAAACGCTGAATTTCCAATGTCTGCACTTTGCAGTGCTGTACTCTCTGGCTGAATCTTTTCCAGTCTTGCTTTCTAATTTTATCTTTCATAGTTAAATACAATCATAGCTACCAATGACTCCTACTACTTCTGGTTTTAAATGTATTAGCTGTTTGGATAAACAAATTCTATTTACACCTTGCAAAATTTTTCAAAGATACATTTTTTCTTATGTACCATTTTCTTAAACTACAGCCAAGTGGTCACTGCTTTAGCTTCCATCTCTAAGCACAGTATCCATGCTCTTGTACATGTGTCAGGAGACTGCAAATTCACTACTGATGTCACAGCTATTCCATTTGTTTCATCGCTCCTGGAGGGATTGCACTTTCAGCACACGTTTCTAGACTGTCCCATTTTGCTCTCAATCAGGGGGAATGCTGCAAATGTAAGATTTTGTTTGTAGCATGGGAGGACACTACCACCCTCATTCCCAGCGTTTTGGAATATCCCCAAGGGCTTCAAAGAATCAAGATTATATATGCTTGTGTAGTGGTTACTGCAAGATGTGAAAGAATAAAATGGCAGCATGCAACCTATGGTTTGTCTTGACTTAGAATCATAGGTGCTTAGTAACTTCCTTATCAGATTTTTTTCCAGTTTTTCTTTTGAACAGCAAATATATTCTCTGCTTTGATTTTTATTTGAGGTAGTAGAAACTTCTCATGCCTATTGGCTAAGACCTGAATGGCCCCTGGAAGCTAACAAGGAGAGTTAGAAATTTATCCCTTTGATCCTTTGAGGGGACATGTTTAGGAACATGTGTAGGAGGTATCACTGCTGATGTGAAGATGGGAATGTTTTAACATTAGTCACAGAATCAGCAGCTGAAAGAGAATGCATGGAACCCTACAGAGATGTGAATGCCCTGATTTCTTACATAAAAAGAGCCTCTTGAAAGCAGGGCGGTTTTAGCATAATCTGGTAATGAGCTGTGGCAATTTTCTGATGTTACTGCCTTCACAAAGTTCCCATGCTCTTTGTGTGATGTCCAGTCTAAACAATTCCTCAGTGGCTGTGCCCTGGCTGCATCATGACAGTCACCAGCTGGCAGGTTGTACCAGGATCCTTAGGCAGGTACTTGCACATCTCTTGATAATTTAACTCCAAGTTCAGTAGAAACATGCCTGGAAACAATAGGTAGGATGTACTGTGGGCCAAACTATTATTATTGGAAAGAATGCAATTATATTTTTTCTTTGTCTTTAATTGATCCTTAGTTGCTTGACCTTACTTGCTATAACAGTAGAGTTTTGGTAATGTTTGAAGTTATTCAGAGAAGAAGTTTCACACAACAGGAAACTGATACAGCAGAAAACTGTCTTTTAAACAGAGTGGTTGATGGACCAGTATTCTCCTGGGAGTATTCCACCTGAGTAGTTTTTCCTGTAATCTTTCACTGTCTAGTGCTCTCACTCTCCACAGACACCTGCATGTGCTTTTTTCTGAAACTATGAGCAGGCACAGCAGCAGGTGCAAAGCAGGGCTTGGCACGTTTTAGGTGGTGTAAACAATTTGCAGTTAAAATTGGACTAAACATCAAGTCTCGCTTCAATGACTACTTACTTAATCATAGGAGAAGATGGCACGTTCTCCTGATAAATTTCCAGGTCCATAATGCCAAGACTGCTAGTTGTACTGCTGTTGCCATTGCTGACAAAGCAAAAGTTTAAATATTAGTGCCAAGCTGTGCTGAACATGTCTCCATACATCTTTTAAAAATTTATTTATGTACAAAGCAAAGTGAAGAGGCTGCCTCCTGTTATGTAGAGTTCCACAAAATCAGTTGTGCTCAGCAAGTGGTTCCCAGAATGAAGCACACTAGTCTGCTCAAAGTAATGAGGCTTTTATTAAAATAGTTCTAGATGGAGCATGTATGAAGTGCATCAATGTGCATGTGTGTAAACTGAAGTGATGCAGTAAACTGGAGGATAAAAAGATGTGGACTCTCTTCTTGTGCATGCCTTATGCAATGAACATTTGGCCTCAAATGAAAAAAACAGTCTGCTTGAGTCCTTGAAAAGAAGGTTTAGCAGGTACATAGATGCCCTGGAAGAAACCTGCAGAGATTCAGATATCTCTGAACATGGGAAGTTAGAGCAAGACATTGGTTGCCCATCTTACTACTTACCTGTTGGGTGACTCCATGCCTGTAACCAGCAGTGGTTTCAGTGTATTACATCATACCCCAAATACTACTGGGGATCTGATGGAACCCACAGGTACAGAGATGGCCCCTCGTGTTTCTAACTACTCTGAAAGACTGAGATTTTAATTAAAGCCAGTGCTCATTGGGACCAACAATACATAGAAGTATTCTCTTTGGCTTCTTCACAAGGATAAAGTAGTACGATAGTATTAGTTCACTTTATAATGGCCAGTCTTCGCAAGCGAAGATTTTTGGGAAAGGTCATTAACCCTTCCAGCCTGCGCAGTGGATTTTTAGGTGAGACACAGCGTGCGCTGAACTGAGCCCACCCTTTAGTCCTGAGGTTCATCTGCTGGGGCCGAGCAAAGCTTGGACAGTGGCAGTGAGGTCCCCAGGATGTAGGTTTGTTTAGAGTGACCTTCTCTTAGGTGGATTGCCTACCAAGGCTGACGAGCTCCACCTGCCCAGGGGGCCGGGAATCGAACCCGGGTCGCAGAGGTGAGAGTCAGGCACTCTAACCACTAGACCACCAGAGGCCCCTTTATAACATCATTGTAAATGGGACAGTAAGTGTTTATGCAGATATTGTAACAGTGTCATGAGCAGGTTGTGAATTTGCTGCCTGCAAGTCAATTACCAGGAACAAATTCTGTGTGGCAAGTCATGTTGAACCACTTAATTTTTACTGGAAGAGCAACTAATATTATTTTTCCTTACATTAGAAGGATTGATTAGACAGTTCCTTTTCCTATCATGCTGATCTCAGTCCGTGCCAGCATGCCATGCATTCAGACTTGCTGTAGCAATTTCTGTTTCAATACAGAGCTGAAAGGCACAGTACTTCAGCTCTCTCAGGCCGAGGACTTTGTTAAAGGTTGATGCAATAATAACAGGATGAATGTTCAACTGCGGTGACAGACATGTTTTGTTCAGTTCTTTTTAGCTGGCCAACAGTGCTTTCTGACAGAGACTCTTTCTTTTCCCTGCTTCATTACCATAATGTCTTCCCTCCTTGTCATATTGATACTCAAGAGAAAGATGTAATTACTTGACAATATTTTAAAACCTAGTCTAAGAGCATATGAAGAAAAAACTTTGCTCAATTTCATGTCATGAAAGGGCTGAAGTCAAACTACCATCACTTTATATAAACTCCAAGGACTAGATAACGTTTTTAAACACATGTCCTGACTTGAATAGATACAAAAAGCAGCACACTGCTATGGGAGCTCTGGAATTTATGTCTACTCAGGGGAACACTGGTCATCCTCTGTTAATCTGCACCCCTGTGCCAGTCTAAGGAGATCAGGCTCAATCTCTGCCCTTCTGGCGGGATCAGCAATCTCGTCAATCTTGGCTAAGGAGACGCCAAAATAAACATTATGCAAAGAGTAGCAAATAAATCAAAAGACTGTAGCAATTAGCTTGTCTGGTGGCCTTTTCACTGTAGGACTGAGGCACTTCAGTGGTGCCAGGTAGTTTTTCCTTTGCCTGAATCTAGCTGCTCACCAGTAGTAAAAAGACCTAGCTGAGAACCAGAATGTGGATAATTTTTTTCCCCTTATTAAAAAATAAAGAGATAAAGTCTACAATTAGCCTTTCTTTACAGTGTTCTAAGTAAATCTCAAGCTGCTGCCTCTCATTCCCGATGCATGGCAGGGAAATCACTGGCTTGGTTGATAGACCATATTGTACAGTGAGAACAGACAACACGGGTACCTCATGGATCGCTCGCTGAGTTGCAAGTAGCTACTTGTGTCGTCAGGATTGTCCTCATCATTAGCTAGCTGGGACCAGCTGCCAGTGCTTTCTTCACTGCTGCTGAGATGGTTTGGGAATTCTTCAGCTGCTTTTGTCTCTCCTATGATTTCAGCATCCGATCTGCTCTGAGGGCTGTTGCTGGCAGGGTGATAAAGAAGGCACGTTGATATGATAATACAGGCAAACAAACTGGTGACACCAATCTTCAGGCAATGCTGCTCATTAAAGTCAACCAAGCTGCAGAATTATATAGATGCAAAAGACTGGACAAGCTTATAATTTATCCATACAGTCCAATAGAACATATGGTCTGAGATGCTCTTAAAAAAAGACTTTCTTATGACTGCTACAAACAAACACAAACCAAAGTAAATATTATACTGAAATATGCATAGAAATGGTTTAACTTGTAAAAAATGATTTTACATGTATGAAAAGAACTGATCACTGTAAGGGTCTGTTGCTTAATGCACTTCAGTCAATCAGTGGTTGAAATATATGATATATGTTAGTGCAGAATGTGAACTACCAGCTCTCTGCAGGATCTCTCTAGAAAAGTTCTTGCTTTCAGACCTGTATCTAAGTTATGACTGAGGCACTGGTCTTTAGTTAGAGCAAAAGATTGCACCAGAAACGCTACTGCTCCCAAGTCATCACCTTGACCAAGAATATACTGAGACAATATCATTGTGGATGTCTCCTTTTGCCAAGCTCTCACTCTCAGAAGTTGTTGCATTAATGCTGGATGACAGAGAGAGAGGCAGCCTGTGCAGGGAGAATGGGAGCTGTTTGCCCAAGGGCTCTGCTCTAGCAGGCAGGGAGCATCTGCCAAGTAACTGTGCCTGTCATCCCTGACCCCTCAGGGGCAGAGCTCAGCATCTGCACCAACACGTGGGCTCTGAGCAGCCAGGTTGAAGGGTAGTGGTGTTACTCAGATTTTTAATACAGGGCAGGAAGCTCCTGATACCTGGTCCAAAACATAAGAGATTTCTGTGGGTGATGTTTCTTGGCATTTTGGGTTTTGTTTGATTCATTAAGCAGTTGCATCTCAGACTAGCGATGCTTTGAACTGACAGTCCCCCACTTGTGAACAGTCACTTGGAACTGTTTCTGTGTGACAGGACTGGGTCTGTGCCACTGCCTACATACCAGAAACAGCTCTTTTTCGTTGCTGAAGACCTCTTCCCTAGGCCTGCACAGCTTTTTATTTTTTTATTTTTTTTTTATTCCTAATTGACTGTATGTCTGCTTGATATTTTGCCTGGAGTCCTCTGTGCCTGTATCTGAACTAGCAAGTAGTTTAATGCAGTAGGAGTGGATCAAAGCAATTGCTGCTGATGCTTTTATAGCTACATTATATATTTTTAGGTTTTCACTTCAGCCTACATAGACTTGGTCCAGCCAGCTATGCCAGAAATGGTTCAAATCTGTGTGAAGAACCACAGGAAGCTTTGCCTTCCCAGTAGGGATACGAGCACATCTGGAACACACTTGGGCAGCTTCTATTTGAGATTCCTTTAAAAGAAATCTGCATTGCATGCTGCAAAGAAAGCTGATGTATGGAAATGGGGATGAGTTGATTCAGAACTGCACTGCATTGCTGAGCCAAAATGCTCTTGTGGTGTAGCCTGTGGTTACTAATTCAGCCCTACCAACCCTTTTGCTTTAAACATCCCATAGGCACTTTGGGAACTCTGCATTAAAGGCAGAAGAAAAGTTGTTATGAAAGGGGTCATAAACTGCAAAAATAACTTCATTTTCACAGTCAAGATTCCAAATAGATGGATTTTGAAATGTATCTTACTAAAAGCAGGTTGCATTTTAAGGAAGAGGAAGGTTAGTGAGGGAGAATCAGTATGAAAGACTAGTGACACTATGATAATTATCATAATTGTTAACATACACAGGAAAGTAGATAGAATCCATGTACTTTCCCACTTCAAGGAAAGCAAGTACTTCTGCTTTCTCACTTCAAGCAGAGCTTTGTCAAATGCCAAAACAGAGCACTGCTTAGAATAAAATGAGCTACAATGGTTTCTAACACTAGCACCTGCACTCTTTCTACCACTCTGAGATAATGGGGTGCTGCAGTGCTCCAAGAGACTGGCAGTTTAGATACCATTAAAGTGACAGATACAATGAAGAAGTATAGTTAAAAGTAGGCAATGCCTTGAGAAAGAGCATTGCTCTTGGCCTCATAGCACTCACAGCAATCTTCTACATTTGCACTGCACTCTCATAGTGGGCTCACACTTTGCCATAACCAAAGCAAGCTACAGATTTCTTAAGACAAGGAGTACAGCTGCAAGGAGAGGGTGGTAAGGTATGGTGTAAACTCCATGAAATGGCATTAAAATAAAATGAAATGTTATTCTTTTCTCTATTTAAATTCTACCAGAGAAGTCTTGAACTAAAGGAGGTGAGGGGTACTTTTAATATTTTATTTCCTTCACTAAAAAATTTTTCTTACTTGTAGTTCCAGACTGCAAACACAAATTTGAACTTCAAGGCCTCAGAAGTCTGGTCTTGTTTCCAGGTACACAAAGCATTAGTTACACAAACAGGCAGAGCAGAGAACTACAAATTCTGCTATCTTCTGTTATACACTAACACTGATTTTTATTTATTTATTTTTTTTAATTGGGATATCAGCCAGCACTACATGAAAGTTTATGTTTTGTCTATTTTTCCTGTCTTGACTATGGGAGACTTAAATATCTGTAGAGAGAAAACTTTCTTATTAGTAAGTTTGAATGTTCGAACCATAATGTTGTCATATTTGATTTAAGTTTGGTCCAGAAATCAGCACTGTGATACTTGACTGGCTGATTTTATGTCATGAGAAACCTGTAGTCACAACTTAACCTGTTTGTTTCTTTAGAAGTTATATTCTTATCTTCTTCCTTTATCAAAATAACTTTTACTGGGAAAATAAAACACCGAAGCAATATGCTGATTTGCTGTTTGGTCACTTACCTATTTGCTGGGGAACTGGAAACAGTGTGTTTGCCATCCAAAGCTTCTGGAGGCTTTTCTTTGCTTTGATGCTCCTTTCCAGAAGGGCCACATGAAGTTAAGGACTCTGAGTCTTTATGTGGCTCATCTCGTTGATCACTTTCTATCTGAATCAAAGGCACTTCCCTGTGCTGACCTGCAGGGAGGCTCCCGGGGCTCTTCACGTGCTCTTTTTTCTCATCCAAATTTACTTCTTCCGTTTTGGGTTTCGATTGTATCTGAGCTGTGCTTTGGGGATGTTTGCTTTCCAGCACGTGTTCTCGGCTTGTATAGTCACAGGAATCCTGCTGGACAACAATTAAACTTTTACCACTTTCAACAATATTTGCGGCCAGTCTTTTTGCGTATTGTTCCACGTGCGGTGGGGAATCGCTGTAAAACTGCTCTGCCTCTGCAGCCTCTGCCTCATCTGCTATGATTTTGTTCTTCCGCATCAGAGATTCGATAGAACTCGCCCACGTCTCGTGAATCAACATATCTGTTATCTGGTCAGTCTTGCATCTTTGGTACAGGCACGAGTCAGACTTGCAAAGACCTGAAGAAGCCACGGTACTGGCTGGCTGCACACTTAAGGAATCTTGGCGGTGGTGGGCAAATCCATCTAAGGAATTTGCCTTAACTGGGACATTAACTGTAAGCCTGGAGCCTGATGATCTGCTGTCAGGCATCGATGACTGCCTAAAGCAAAAAGGTGACCGTAGAGACGGTGGTAGCAAACTGTCACACCAGTCCTTTGAATTCCGAGGGGAATACAGGTTATCTTTATTTTCCCTTTCGATCTCTCTTAGCATATACCTATAAAATTCTTCTGTTATACTTTCTGTGCTGGACTGTTTGGATGGGCAACTCGGTCTTACATTAAGATGGCCATTTTTCTTGGCTACCTGTTGCAAAGCAGAAGTTAAGATATTGTTTGCATTTTTTCCTGCATAGTAATCCAGTAGCAAATCAAAACCTCTTCCTTCATTTTCCATCTGGTTCACCATAAATCTTGAAAATTCATCTGTAATGCTTTCACAACTAGACTGCTTTGAGACAGAACTTGTCTGGCTCATAGACTGACCAAAGCTGTTCATTAGGCCTAGGGTATTGAAAGAGGCTTTGGAATCCGAGTCCTCCTCAGGAATGCTCTCACAGCTTGAGGCCTTGGCTCGACTCCATCTTTCACAGTGCAGTCTGTTCCTGGGGTGGTTTGGACCTTGCCAGATGCTATCAACCATGGAGAGTTCAGTGAGGTTCATGATCTTGGCAGCCACTTCATTTGCAAAGATATTGACTGAATCAGGTGTGTCCTCAAGGTTTATAGATTCATCTACTACCCGATTCATCAGTCTTTCCTTTAGCTCTGGATGCTCATCTGTTTTTCTTTTGATCTCACTTAGTCGAGGTGCCCTGTGCTTCCGAACCACTGAGCCATTAGTATGGGTTTCCTTTTTCCTTTTCATGGTTCTGCATGATAAACTCTGGGTCACTAGATATTCATTGCCTCTCTTCCATGCACAGAACCAGGGTTGCTTTCCATTTGAATTTTCTAGACAAATGGCAGCTATTTCTGTTGCCATAGAGACAACTGTTTCTGCCAATTCTTCTGCAAAATCTGTTATACAATATTTGTCTCTTGAATTTTTCACCTGTAGCACAGGCTGAGAAGGAAGCAAGACATGGTTTCCTAATAAAGACAAGCTAAGTTGAACATCATTATTTAGCACAGAATCACACTTATGCTTGGCTTGGTTTTCTGCAGTTGTGGTGGCACTGGAAGACAGCTGTTCTTGAACACCATGTCTGCATTCATTGTTTGCAAAGGTATTTTCTCTGTTTGAAAATGATCTGTAATCTTTCTTCTGATGCTGATTGTTGCTCTGATTTGGGGATTTGTAACAGTCTCGTGCGGTTCTTTTCAGGTATCTCTTCTTGGGAGATGTTTTTCCACCAAGTGTGTTATGCTCTGTATCTCCACTTGGTTCTGAGCTCAGTGTGGCACCTTCATTGCTATTTACATCTATCATATTACTTTTCCAAGTGGTTGTGACATTTCCAAGATCTTTGCTAGTACTGGTACTGTAGGATGTACCAAATGGCTTAGCAGCAGAGTGATCAAGGGGGCTGTGAGAAGTTTCACATGCTGTTGCTGGTGTTGACCATCCTTCTACTCTTGTTACTTTCTCTGCTTTTCTGCCCTCAGAAAAGAGAGGAGAACATTCTTCAACTTGCCTTATGTCGTTCATCTTCTTGCAAGTGAAATATATTATATTAAAAAGCAACTCGTTTGCAGTCTCTGTGAAAATGTCTTGTGTACTTGAGCCATTTTCTGAGTGGGGGTGTAGCTGTCTCTTCTTCCTAACCTCTTCCATAGAATGTCGTAGGATAATATTGGATAAGTTTTGCGCAAGTTCATCCCTGATTACTTCATCAGCACGTGGAATACGTGGCCTTGCTGCTGTTTCAATAATTTTCCCATTTATGGATTCCATAAAGTGCCCTACATTTTTGTATGTGTTGGGTTTTGTCAAAATTACAGATGCCTCTTTGAGAAGCGCCTCTGCAATGCTCTCATTTAGCTTTTCCATGCTGCTTCCTATAGCTATGCTACAGTGCAGAGTAATGGCTGCAGAAGCCTGAGCAGCAGACAGAAGTCCACTTGAAGTTGCAGGGTACTTCTCCTCCTTCGTTTCCCCCAGACCACAGATGGCCACAGCACTCGCTACTTGAGTCATGCCACACAGCGCAGATGGAAAGGAATATTCTGTGCCAGCAGAGTCATCAAGGGGCTGTGAAGGTGCTGTGTGCACCTCTTCATCTACTACCACTCTGCTTCGGGAGTCTGCGACTTCTTGGTCCCATCTGAATTTTTCTGCAGCCTGGGGACTGGAAATGGTTCCAATGACAGTGGCTGCACAAGCCAGAGCCACTTCCAGTGCACTTTGGTCATGTCCGTTTGAATGTTCTTCCTCAAAGTAATCTGAAACTTCAGCAGAGCTTTCTGACTCGGTCCAGTGGCACAGGTTGGGGAAGGCAGACCCTGGCCAGTCAGGTATGTTCTCAGAACTGTCTGGACTTTGCACTATGACAATCTTTGGAAGTTCATTCCATGATCGGGAAGCAGATACGTCCTCTGACTTACCGGAGCTTCCCACAGAGATGCTGACTGCAGCCTCCTCACTGAAACTGGGTCGGGACTGTGACAGTCTAATGAATGCATCCTGCAGAACAGATTCTGCCAAATTTGTGGCATACTGACCTGTGGTCCCTTGCTCATTTTGTGAGGGCGGATCAGTTTTCCTGATACCTGCACAGTCTTCCCCATCTGTCTTACTGTTGTGTTTTGTTGTTGCGTCACACAGAGGCTCCAGCTCCTCTTTAGCCATTTTGGTTAAAGATACATCTTCTAACATGAGCGCTGGGCAGGAATTTTCAACCTCATCAGTCAAATTAGTAGCACTAAATGATGAAGTAGCTTTTTCAGCTAATTCCTTCTGCCACAGTTTTTCCTGGTCTGATTTATGTTCAGGTTGTAAGAGGCCATTTTCAGCCACAACATTCACAGCTTCAGAGACTTGAGTAGCTCCGTTATCTTTATTAATGCAGTTTCCTTCAGGAATGAATGGCAACCTGGCTTTTCTGTAGTGAATATTTTCAAATCCCTTTCCTTTATTTTTTTTGACATCTGAAGATGCTTCTGAAACGTTTAATTTTTCGTGACCTATTAAGAAAAATAAATAATTAGTTTTTTGCAGAGTACCCTGTGGCTTTAAAAAGAAAACAGCTGCACAACTGTGTACCACATCACTGCTGCAAAAGTACTGCACAGCCATGTATCCTTGTCTCTGAACAGCAATTTAAAAATATGAATGGCTGTCCATTTTCTAAATTACATATGCACGAATCAAAATCAAGTGTAATTTCAGTGAGCATTGCCATAGCAGTTTTGCAGTACCAACAATAGCAGAATTATGCTCAGTCCCATTGCTTTTACCCGCTTTGCATTCATCAGCCTCGTTGTCATCCTCGAGGTGCTCAGATGCCGTGAGGAAATCTTCTTCTATTGAGGACACGGAGCAGTTTGTGTCATCCTCTGGCTTTAAGACACGAGTTTCTATCTGCAGGTGCCTCTCCTGAACGAGCTCAAGTCCAATCAGAAACTTGTTTATTTCAAAAATGATGCAGCTTGGGCTGTTTCTCCTGTCCCCCCTCGCACACTGAACCAAGCAGACATCTGCCAGCCAAGGACACTAGAGGGGAAAAGAATCTCAGACAGTTATTTAATTAAGAAATAAAACTTATTTTAAGCTTCCCTCTCTATAAATATCTCGAGAATGTTCTGTTGCAAAGATGCAATATGATTTGTCATTTAAATGTTAGTAACACAGTGTGCAGTTACATATATGCCAAAATAAGACTTCTCGGACTGACAGCTTTTGTTACACAAGTGCTTTAGTAGAGAACCCAGCTGTATCACAGGGGATACTTGGCAATTTTGTTGAAATTGCCAAGTTGTTTGTTTTCAATCAACTTGTTTTAATGATAGAGACTTATTTGCAGTTAGCCATCTGACATGCTGTTATTAATGGCCTCGCACCACCCGGCATTACCTGCCTCTTGAAGGGATTGTTTGTGGGCATGAATTCCCTTTCAGGATAATTTCCCTTGCAATGCCTGTTTGAAGGCAGCCCTGTAAATGCTGGCTGACGAGATTAAGAACAGGTCACCTTTAGTGTTCCTACAGACTGTTTTAAAATAGTGTTTTATTTTGTTTCTTTGCTGCTCTTCCTCTCATTCCTTCTTTGTCCAAAGCCCCATTATTTCAGGCCCAAATAACCTCCCACTGGAAACAGGGCTCCAGTGCACAATGTGATGAGCCTTTATATAAAACTGTCTTACCCAGAGAAGCTGTACAATTAAGTTGAAAGTTGGACAGAAACGGAGATAAAGGAACTCTTGTTATCCTCCTTTTATTGATATTAAAAACTGTTGGACATTTATACACCAACAGAGCTAAGTCAATATCTCCGCATGGGACCACGCCTGTTGTATGGATGTACTCTGAAGCAAAGCCAAGCTTTTGCAGCGTGTGATCCTGTGCTTTTAGCTCCAGGCCTCCAGGAAGGAACCAACTTGGGTGGAACCAACTTTGGATTGAGGCAGTGAATTTTAAGCTGGGCAAAAGATGCCTTGGACCCACTGGGCATTTGCACAGTATCTACCATAATGTAACCTCATTCTGGACCTTTTGTCTTTGAGTGTGAATGCAAAGCAAATATCTAGTAATAGAGACAGTAGAATGAGTGCTACGCTGGATTAGCATGTTTATTAGCCTGCTCTTCCTTTCCACCTAAAAAATGTGTCTGAACAGAAAACCAGATAAATTAGTGTGTTAAAAGGAAAACAGAAAAGACAGATTAGATAGCTGCTACGAAACAGTTGCTGAATCAGATGTGAGCATACTGTATTGTGAAAAATGTAATAAAAAACAGATGCAGCCTTAGATCAAACATTCCCCTGCTGTTTCTCCAGGCCACAGTTTGCAGGGTTATACTTGTGAAAAGGGCTGAGGGGTGAGCAGCATAAAAATCCTTGCAGGAAAACTCTGCCAGTCAATTTCAGTCAATTCTCTGAAAGCCAAACAAAAGTGTGATGATGGCATATCTGGCCAATAAATCTCATCCAGTCTCAATGCAAAGCTTTACTTGTCTTACAAGACAAAAATTTAGGTTAGTTCCCTCTATGAGAGGGCTGCCAGTGTCACTGGATTTGGAGATGGGGATGACTTGGGTGCTTGTGTTACCTCAAAACACCCTTGTGCATATTGCAGTAGCTTGCCCCTGGGCTGTGGGGTTGGGAGCTCCAGTGCTTCCACCACAGCCTTGTGCTCATATTTTTTTAAACCTTTCTAAATTCAGCCATTAGTCACAAATGGCAAGAAAGCTCAATAACTAGGTAATTTCTCTCTTTAATGATCAGCTTATTGGTATAACATAAAATTCAATGATCTTTGCAATAGAGCTGTTACAGGGTCTGCTTCAGGAAAACTTTTGTACACAAGTTAATTTCAGTGAAAAGAAGTTTTCTGCTTGTTTTTTTCTGCAGCAGAAAAACCTGGCAATACCTGTTGTTTTTTTTTTAAGTTTGCTGGGACAGTTTTGTACTCCAGGATAATTTTGCAGTTTTAATGAATTTGAGAGGTGATTCTGCTGCTCTACTCCATGCTGGTGAGATCCCACCTGGAGTACTGTGTCCAACTGTGGGGTTGCCAGCACAGGAAGCACATTGACCTGTTGGATCGAGTCCAGAGGAGGCCACCAACATGTTTAGAGGGATGAAGCACCTCTCCTATGAGGAAAGGCTGAGAGAGTTGGGCTTGTTCAGCCTGGAAAACAGAAGGCTTTAGGGTGACATGATTGAGGGCTTCCAGTACCTGAAGGGAGCCTACAAGAAAGATGGAGAGGGACTATTTACAGGAGCATGTAGTGACAGGACAAAGGGGAACGGCTTCAAGCTAAAGAGAATAGGTTTAGATTAGGTATTAGGAAAAATTCTTTACTTTGAGGGTAGTGAGACACTTGAACAGATTGCCCAGAGAAATCATAAATGTCCCATCCCCGGAATTGCTCAACACCAGGCTGAATGGGGCTCTGAGCAACCTGGTCTAGTGGAAGGAGTCCCTGCCCATGGCAGGGGGTTTGGAGCGAGATGATCTTTAAAGTCCCTTCCAACCCAAACCATTCTATGATTCTAGTCTATGAAGTTGTTCCCATTTCATGAATGGCCCAATTATATCAGAATCAGGCCCAAAAATACTGACATATTTTTCACTCTTTCTTTACACATACATGAATGGGTATAAAGGATGACAAAAATGGAAAGGAAGAAAATAGCTCTTATTACAACAAGGAGTTAAGCTTCTGGAACTTGTGTATTAAAATGTCTTTAAGCAAATGTTATCATTTGCTTCCTTTCTCTATGTGGTGCCACTAAGAGGAATTCTTGGCTTTTAGATCACAGATAGGGAACGTTTAATTGGCAATAATGGGAGTGAAGGAGTTAGCACGAGAACCTCGCCTCTAGCTCCTTTAAATGTTAAATTTTAATTAATGCATTAATTACTTTTTAAGTTGACAGAAGCTAAATGAGGTGTCATCTCTGATATGGTTAACGTCACTTGGTATTTTCACATTGATCACATTCAGGCTTATGGTAGCCTCTAGGATCTTCACGTCCTATCATCAGCCCTTTTCCGAGGTGCGCGTATGGGAGAAGATGCATTGGGAACAAAAGTGGGAAGTGGCAAGACTTCACTTGAAAGGGATTCTGTAGCAGCTGTGCCCTGGCCTAGCTCTGTGCACAGAAGAAGTGTTACATCTTTCCTTTCCCCTCTGTGCTGCCTTTCTGATTCCTGCTACTCTTGAAATCTGGCCATATGAATCTCATCTCTGCCACCAATGCCTGCCTTCCCTGAAGGATCAACTGCTAATGTGGCTCAAAACATTATCAGCTGCAACCCAGACACCCTCAGGATCTACAGGGAATAGCAGGATCTCTTGCCTATCTGTGTAAATGGTGTGTGTGTGTCCCTGCCCACCACAGACTTAAATGTGTCTAACACAAGTCTGTTGGTTTTTTATGTTTGCAAACTCCCACTCATCTCAAACTGATGTGAGGTCTTTGCTTTCGGGTTCATTTTTCCCGTATTCCAAATTCCATCCTTCACAGGTGTGATGTGATCTTAAAGATGAGTTTGATTCCTACCTGGGGAACCTCATAATCGGCCTGAAGGTTTCCTGATGCCAATCCACTCAGCAGGACTATTTCATTTTCCTTTGGTGGTTGTACGTTCATCGAACTGATGAGTTTGGGGAGGTTTGGTGAGACGCTGATCAACTTCTGTAGTATGAAAGATAGATTTTACTCTCAGGTAATGAAATCTGAGTTGCACAGTTATATTCAGAAATATTAAAATGAAATACCACTTATATGTATCCCTTTAGAAAGCTTACTTGAAAGTAATACTTCAACTAGATTAAGAACAGAACTGGCAGCTTTAAAACGCACATTCTTTCTTTTGAGACACCAGACCAGACATTATAAACTTCTGCACAAGTGTCCAGCAGGACAATCTGCCATCTCTGACATTGTCATGTGATAAATGGCTTGACTGGATTTGTGAATCTAAATGCTTCCTATTACAAGTGAGTTCTTGAGAGACTGAAACACTGTCTCTCTCTGTTATAGTCTGAAACAGAAAAGATTTGGTGTGGTAATGAGACCAGGGCAAATCTTCCTGTTTTCCTCCAGGCTTCTGACTAGCAAGGAAGGAAAAGTTAGCTGGAAATTGCTGACTGAATTGACACAATGCTAAACATGGAACAACAGAAATATTGAAGGGACAGATGAAATATACCTTTCTTTGCTGTTCCACTGGGCGCCTTTGTGACCTTTCATTTGTAATGGCACAGTCACTTCCTACGTGTTACATATTTGCTAAAGGTAAAAGCAGTAACAGTCACAGCATCAGTGATGCTACGTAACACAGGAGATTTGTGCTGCCATACTGCTGGGAGCCAGTCCCCAGCCCGTGCAGGGGACATCTGTGCTCCTTTGTGTACAAAGTCCAGGACAAAAGGACAGTACCTGAGAGTGCAGTTCCCTCTGCCAGGGATCTCTGTGTGCTTGCTCTTAGAACACAAAATCAGGGCTGGCCCCTTACAGAGGGAGTAGAGTAAATACCACCTCCATTTTAGGCACTAACAGAGCCCATGTGTTAGTGCACAACACATGGCAAAGCCAGTCAGGGAATGCAGATCTTGGGCACCCAGCCATAGGCTTTGTTTCACTTCTTCCTTTTCATCTTCAAAATGTTAAGCTTGCAGTACTGCTATTTTTCCTTGGAATGAATTAGACATAATAAAACTTCCTGGTTTAGAAAAGCTAAATCAATATTAGAGAACAGTTCACTTTTCAGCAGACTGAATCACATGAGACTAAGTACTTTTATTTGACATAACTAAATTCAGTCCTTCAATTCAGTTTGACGTTTTACTGTTGCACAAAAAAGTTCTCATCCTTTTTTTTTTTTCCAAATTATAACCTTTCTGTTATCACACACATTTCCCTACATATCTCTATTTTTCTACTGCCTAAATTGCCACATTTTATCAGATTTTCTAGGTAGGAAATGATGGCATTTTATATACCTTCTACTTCAGTTCTTTACCTTTTGCTCAGAATTAAAAAAAAAAGTCTGAAAACATGATTATTTTACACTAAACCCCCCTCCATTTAACCCACTCCAAGGTTCTGTGGGTAATGCAAAATCCTAACAGTACCTCTTAGTAAATAAAGTAACTGTTAGAAAATGGTTAAATATTTCATATGAACAACAGTTAGGCTAACATCTTCAAAATTCTTCTAAGAAATGCTTTCACAACACCAATGTGTTTTATAAAATTCCACCCCACTCAGTGGTAATTTACACAAACTGCTTATTACACACAAAAAACATGATGAGGGAGTTTCCTCTTGGAGAAGAATGAAAAAGCACCTCGTGCTAGCAGGGAATTTTCATTACCTACATTGAAAACTGAAAAAGAAAAAGAGTATCGTTTTCCAGTCAGGGCGAATAAATGTGTTTGCACATAAATGCACCAGAAACTGCCCTTCTAGAATAGAGCCAAACATTGGGGTGTCTCTGTTACCAGTGCCCTCGTGCCAGGAGAGGAATGTCTGCTGTGGGCACGGTGGGTGCAGTGCTTTGGGGAGCTGACCAGGCTCTGCTGCCATGTCAGAGCTTCAGGGTGGTGAACACAGCCCTGCTCTGAGGCTGGTAGATAAAAAACACGCAGCTGCTTCCAGAGGGGTTTTGTGCTTGTAAAGGAGTCATCAAACCTCCAGGCATTGTAAGGGGTGGCTGCACAAAGCTAATTTCAGATGGCTTTTACAGATATCTAGTTCTAAGACTGAGAGAGAAACTTGGGGTATTTCCTCATGACCTGCTACAGCTTTTGTTCCTCAACAAACACTGTAAACAACAATAAAACCTCTGCTTAATAGGAAACAACTAGTGCTTCTAGGGATTCAGTAAAGTAAACCCTCTCAAGCTGTTCTGCACAGTTAACCTCCTGATTCAACAGAAAAATCATTTTGCTGCAAGACCCTGTATTTATTTTTGACGTCCGAATTTTCACAGATCCAGGATGCAGAAAACAGCATAGGAAAACTGGTCCTGCTAGCAAATGACTTGCAGGAGGCATCAAGGTCCCAGCACTGGTTGTTCTCCTATGAGCTAAAAGTGGTTTCAGCAAACTAACTGTAATGCTTTAACCAAGGAATTCCCTGGGTACTTTCAGGAGACCCTACCTTTGTTCACTCACTACATATTGCCCCCATATTGCTGTGTCTATCATAGGCACCAAGCCAGGATGATGGAAATGAACTGATAAAGGAAGATGTCAGCACAAAACTGACACTAGGCCATATCTTTAAAATGTGACTTCAACAGTTTTAAGGTTTCTTTTGGAACAGCATGTATCTTAAATAGCATATCATGATGTAATTTGTCTTAGTGTTTGTAAAACAACCGATCTTTTTTATTATTTTTTTAAAATCCCTTTTTTTTTCTACCTTCAGAACTTTCTGTTAAACAGATAAAAAATACCTTTAGTTCTGTCTTATTTAGACCCCTCCTAAAGACCACATAATCATACTATCTGGAGTTTGAGTAAGACTGCTGAGCTGAACAAGACCTAAATGAGTAAAAGATTTTTCAAAGGCTTTTAGGCAGTAGGACAGAGAGACACCAGAAACTCTTTTTATGCAGTATTATGACAATTTAAAAAATTGGATGTATGACATATCCATGTTCACTTCTCTGATAAAACCAAGGCTGAGCAAGAAATCTATTCATAAAACTGTTGTGATTTCACAGACTGCATCAATCCATTATCTATTTCTGGGATGGGAGTAAGAAAAGTTATATAACATGGTCCAGTGTTGAGACAGTTTCAGAATCCTCATGCATTGCTCTCTGTAAGCATTAAAAATCCAGGGCTGGCTTTGATTTGTTCATAGAATTTTGGTCTGTGTTTGTACTGGAGAGTTCTGGCACACCTGACTAGATCCACTGTGCGTGTTTTTAAGACCTAAACAGTTACCTGTTTCACTTGCTCATCGCTGCAATCATCTCTGTTGGCATCTAAATTCACAAAACAAACCTGTAATAAGAGAGAAAAAGAAACAGTAGCTTATGAAATTGTATTAGAGTGGCAGCAACCCTTTGAAAGTCAGTATATGTTCCTTTTCTAGCCTTGTTGCTGAATATATGAAGCCTTTTCCTAGTACAAGAAAGGCTGAAAGGTTAGCAAAGAGAACTTTCTTGATATCAAGAAAGGAGAAAAAAAGGAATAAGTCATGGTTATATCTGCTCTGACAATCAGCTTGCCTGATGAACGAGCGAATGTTGCCAATAAACTGTAATAGAGAGGATATTAGAAAAGGTAGAGGAAAAGTTAAAAATGCATTTGACCGTATATCAGATAAATTCTTCGTGTCTTTTTCAATGGCTTCTTCTTTTCAGGCACTTGTTGCTAAATGTTTCATAAGTACAGTTGTGAGTTGCTTTTTGAGTTTTTCTGCACACCACATAAATATTGGAGTATTTTTTCTAATTTTCCAGAATTTATAAGTTTAAAGAAGTTTAAAACCTTATGAAAATATTTTTTTTAACCTTTATTCGTAAGCCAATATGCAACCAGAAGTGTTCAGCAGTGCTAATCAGGTACTACCACAGGTTGCAGAACTGCCTAGTAAGTACATGATTTACCAGAAAGTACTACTTTTAATGACAAATTTTTCTGCCCCTTCTTTGATCGTTATGAGTTTCAGAGACCATTAAATGTTCTGAAGACTTTTACTATATGCTGCCTGGAGGGCTGTTATCTAATCAGAAAATCCCTCCTCCAGCTCTACTTCTGAATTAGAAGCAGGGACTCAAAAGTTAGGCTCTGAAGTTTGAGAGAGTTTGGTGTTGTCATCTTGATTTAAAGCAAAACCTAACAAAAATTCAAGGCTCAGCTAAAGCCAACACCCGATTCCAAAATTTAATTCCAGATTCAGAATTTAACTGAAAAGAGCTGAGCGATTTCTGTGTTTTGTTTCTTTCCCAGCAAAGACTCAATGCTTCTTATCCTAATTCTATGTAAATATCCCCTAGAAAATAAAAATGCTCTACATTATCCTTTTCACAAACATTCTTGTGTTAGGCATCCGAACTCCTGTTGTGTGCCTACTTTTACCCCAAGACAACCCTGATTTCAGTTTATATATGCACATACCATATGTATAGATTATGACCATCTGCAGTAACAGCCAGCACAGCAGATGGAAAGATCCAGCCAGTACTCCCATTGTACACCAAAAAAATCCCACTTAAAAAGAAAGCTTTTTGCCCTTTTAAACAGTTTAATGGCATCTTTATGTGAACTTACAAATGTATTTTCCAACCCTTTTATATTTTAGCAAAAATATTTCTATGCCTGATAATGACAACAATCAGGATATGCCACTGTCATCTGGTGAACTTTTAAGAAATAGCTATAAAAATGTCTAAGCTATAAAATATAAAAAATACCCTCTAGCAACATAATGTGGTAGTTATGTAATGTCTTAAACATGTTGCAGTTTAATTATACAGACAAAAATTTTTCTTACTTTCCACAGGGTTTTCACATGTAGGCATTTCACATATCAGCAATAGTTGTTAAAAATCATTAGAAAATTACACTCTTGACTCGTACATGGACTTGCCCAGTGACTACCAGGGCATGTGGTTATGAGTCTGCAGGTGCATGGAGGTGTGTTTGCTTAGGGACCATTAATTTGGGAACCAGGGTGGGAGTGCTGGAAGGTGTAGGACCAGTTTTGAGTCCTCTCAGGCATGTTCACCCCCATGCTAAAGGTAGGACTGTTCCTCAGGACCTTTGTTTTCCAAGCTCCCATGCCAGAGTGGTAAGGTCTAGTTCTGTACTGGATTTGGGGTGAAAGCTTTGGGGAAAAGCTGCACAGCAGCAGTCGGGTCTGTGGGGACATTCCGGCCAACACTTGATTCTCTGATAAGCCTTGTTTTGTCCTTTGCTACCTGCCTGTTGGTACAATGGTACCTGTCTCTGCTGTGCCATACACTGGCACTCCTGCCAGTGACACCGACCACCATCCTAAAGACACGGCCCTTCTGAGCAGCCAAAACAATCAGCTTTTGGTTCATGTGGCATAGATGGCATAGAACTCACTAATGCCCCAGTAGAAGAAATCTCAATATAAGCAGGAATATGTTGTATTTAAAGTCACATTCTCTTTCTTTCCTTTATTTCTTCATTTTCAGAACCCAACAAACTTCTGTCATAAAACTTACAGCAGTTCTGAATCCAGTTTCCAAACACACGTGTCAAATTCACATTGACTTTATTACGCCGCCAATGCAATCTTTTAGTGTTTTCTTGTTCTCTGGATTTTGCAGTTTTAATTATAGGCAATTTTTCAGCAAAAATAGTTTTCCAGTGGTGAAAGACACTGAAGAACTCATTTTTCTGTTTTGCTGTTTGCTTTGAGCAGGAGGCAGGACTAGATGGATACTGTAACCATAAATTAACTCTACAGTTCCCTCCTGGCATGCTCTACACTACTACTTTTGGTTCAGCTTTCCAAGTGTAGAAATCCCATTTGCTCAAGTGAAAAAAATACTGTTCTTGTGGTGAACATGTATCACTGCACTCAAAACTAGAGTCTCAATACTGGCACAAAGCAGTATGTTACATGTCCATTAACTATTTAATACACAGGCATACTGTAAATAGCAACTCTTGCGCTATGCAGTTTCTTGTACATGAATAGCACAAATTGGTCTGACCCTCAAGCCTCCTCTTCCTTCTTAAACTCTCCAAGCATTTCTATTATGACAGTACCAAGCAGGTTACCATCACTAACTTGCTGAGCTTTCATCTTGAAAAAGTCTTTACTTTCCAGGATCATATAAAAAGCAAACAGAGAAAATTTTGTTTTTTTTCTTTTCTTTTTCTTCCCTATTTTTGCATTATAATTTCTGTGACTGGTAAAAGGTGTATGGAGAAAATTCTCTAGGTCAATGATTTCAAGTCCTGAAATCTACTCAAGCTGGTGTAGAAACTATGCAGACACCTCCCTTCTTAAAAGAACTATATATTAAGAAATTTTTTTTATATTACAGCATATATATGGTATATATGCTGTACATATGGTATATTTTACTTGCTAAAAGCTAACAGTCTTCTCACTTAGGAAGAGTAAAGCAATTTCACTTTACAGAGTACCAACACTGCCAGACAGCTGAATGACAAGCAAAGAAATATATGATTGTCTATGTTTTCCTTATTGCTTTCACTTCAGCTTGTATTAACCAAGGTTGGTATTACTGGCATTTTAATATTCCTTAGATAAAAGAGTACACTGATGGTAAGAAAGAAACACTGTCTCAGAGACATAATGCTAACAGCAGTAATTTTTTTCAAAAGTGTGTATTTTTCTGAAGTCTCTATTCTAGGGTGAAGTCTTTCTGCTCTGTACTATTCCCCCCAGACAAGACTCCTGTCTTCTGTTTGTTTTAGGAAGTGCTGATGCTTCTCTCTGTTGTCTGTGTCAATGTCTGACAGCAGGGAAAGGCTTTTCCTTTGTCCTGTGAAATATCTTATGGCTTTTGGTGAAATTAAAGCAAGCCTTAGCTTGTGGGCTTTTTATCAAACTAGTATTTCTTTTAATTAAGAAGAAAATATGTTTGTTTTTCAATCCTCTTCTGTGCCAAAATACAAACTCAGCAGAGATGTCTGAAGGCTGGGCTCACCCTGCCCCAGCAGTAGCAGCTTTAGAGAACAGAAACAGCTTTGAGATGCTCAGTCCCTTTTCTCCTGTGAAGCCTGAGTTCCTCCTGCTTCCCCTTAGGGAAGAGACTGAAGTGAAAATCCACTCTGTTCCTCCCTCTCACTGGGATAGTATTTGTCCCTTGCACCTTACTGATATAGTTGCTCTGGTAAGTGAAATGAGAGCCACAGTCCTGTGTTGTGTGTTGGGAAGGGCTATGGTCAACATTTGCTTAAAGTGCTGCAAGAGGTGGGCTTTTTCCCCCCCCCATAAAATCAAATACATCTACATTATATACCACCCTCTCCCAAAAGTTTCAATATCTATTTTAGAAGAAAGGAATTTAAACTGAAGAGACAAGAGTAAAAAATTAGAACTATATACAGATGGCTTGTGCAACCTTAATTTTACCTCACATACCCACATTTATGCAACACAGAAATAGTGAACAGGAAGCCTGCAAAAAGGGGCAAAACTATGAAGAGTCATAGCCCTGTGTATCTGCCATTTTCTAACATTTGACTTTGTAACTTAAAGGATACTCTTAAATGTGTATATCCAGGTTACACAAATCACTTCATCCCTGTCACTGCACCACTGTATCCATCCAGATGATCCTCAGCTTTGCCCTAGTGTCACTAGCAGGTTGGGTTTGGTGCCATATACCTCTTCATAGGCTAAACTTATGTGTTTGGGTGTGCAGGGGAATTGTGTAGAACTCTCCCTGTTCTATGCTGTCCTGGTTGGCATGTCAGCATGCAAATGCTGTCTGGAAACTGAGTTTATAGAGTCTTTATGTCCAAGGTCTGTGCTGTTTTGCTTCTCCCATCCTCTCTTGTCACATCTCCAAGTCAACTTTAGACATGCCAGATGCCAATTCAGAGAGTCCAGGAGAGAGTTAAAGGGAAAAACTGGTTTGGGACTGCACTGTAATCTGCCCATAAAACTCATGTTTAATTTCCTACAAACAGAAGTGAAAAATGTAATTAGCTCCAGGAGAGACGTCAGGAGAAAGTAATTCTGAGCAGGCAGTTCCTGGGTGCCAGGTTAAAACAGTTTAAATGCCTAAGCCTGAGGACATGAGGAATACAACTGTGTGACATAAGAAGGTGAGGGACTGCTGAGCCCAGGACTGAAGGCAGTTTTATATACACAACCAGCCAAAGCGCTGAAAGGAATGCAGACCTCAAGGGCAGAGAACTGCAGCGACTGTGGCTCTACAGCAGGAAAGGCAAGTTCAAACTGTGCTGCTCCTCGCACTTCAAGCTTTCCCCGATGCACTCAGTAGTTATTTTGTTCCCTTTAAATGTTGCCATCTGTTGCTGAC